TTCCTCAACAGGCAGCACTTCGATGGTTGTACTTTGAAATCAAATTTCTGAAAGCGTTCTATTTATTTATTTTAACACATAGATATTGGTATAAGGAGGCACCAAATACATATGCGCCACACAAATCTCATTTGATATGTGTGAGGGCTGTAATACTGCCCGGATGCCCAAACCGAAGCACGTGGTTTTCTTAGGGGGCCACAACCGGAGCCTTCGACCCGAAGATCTGTTCCACAAGGCAGTGGAGCGTCGTAAGGAGATGCAGTCCCATGGTAACCGGTGACCAACAATAGGTTCATATGCCTATTGTCTCCTCAGGATTCTGGAGACCATGTGCACCATTGGTTTGGAATCAGGGTTATCCAACCCCCCTAGGTGGACTCTCCATGTCCACCAACCCGGTTAAAGCACTAAACATTCGCTTTTCGTCCTATCAATTTCATAAACAACACCCCCTCCTCAAGAAGGTAGTGAGTAGGACTTCCCTGGCAGAGGCTATATACGCGTGGCCATGTGAGAGCATTTCGAGAGGGTGAGCGGACTCTCCCCACTTTCGGCCATACCAGGGCATTCGGGGGCAAAGCGTTCTAAAACTATTTGCAAATTTTCTAAATGTTCTTGAATAGTTGCTCCGTGTACTATAATGTCATCCAGATGCACCAAACAAGCATGTGGCACCAACTCAGACAGTATTGTACGCATAATTCTCAGGAAAGTAGAAAGCATATTAGTTTGATCAAACGGCATGGCTTAAAATTTATATAGACCCTGACTCAAACTAATGCCAGAGTAATCAACGCATATATTCATATTATGCAAGTTATAGAGGTAAATTTCATTTCTAAGTCATTGCCGATATTTTTAATGTTGAAAAATTGTGTTCCACATCACTCTGGTTTATTCTAACTATAAACTAATTGTCTAATACCACCAACATCATGCAGTTATTAAATAAACCATATAATCAAAGAACACAATAAGAAACGATATCCTTGAAAACTATAACTTCCGGTCAGCCAAACAGAATCTGTCATACTTGCTATTTTCAAAGACGAAAAGTAGTGTTAACTTTAAAACGACTTAGTTATTTTCTGTACTGCTAACAGTAAAATTTAGGGGTATGATCATAAATATTAAAAAAGTAGTGATTTTTTAGGTGCTACCGAGATATATACGCAATACGAAGACAGTTTTCCTTTAATTCAGTTATGCGACGACTATGACTGATTACAATCCAAATGTTTAATGATTTTCACATCACATCGAAAATATTCCAATGGATATTTGTGATGTAAAACGAACGAACTGTCCTAAATATTAGTTCTGGACCATGTAAACATAGCTTCTTACCACAAACTATATTCTAACAGAGTGAAAATGTTTTCGTTTTGCATTCATATACATGAAACAATCTAAAGCCACAATTACTAACAAAAATAACGGACCACGAAAATTTTAAATGAGTACAGTTTTTTCTTTTTTGTTTACAGAAAAACAAAGTTATTCATGACGATCTGATGCAATGGAAAATTTACTACGAGAATGATTACTAATTTATGTGTGTTGTAGTGTCAGTCATTATTTTAAGCCCATAATATATTTTATTCTAGTTTTTGGACAAACCAATCTATTCATTCTACTTGAGCCATATTTTGACCTTGTTAATTATTCGCTTATCAGTCTTGACTGTTTTTAATGGGCGTATATATATATATATATATATATATATATATATATATATATATATATATATATATACTGGTCGTCTTCTGCGTTTGCTGTTGCGCGTGCGATAGAAAAGCTAGATTGTCTGCGAAGTCTAGATCGTCCAGCTGCATTCTAGCTGTCCACTGTATCCCGTGCTTCAACCAGATGTTGGCATCTTCATAATCCAGCCGATCACCAGAAGAAACGAAAAGAGTGAGAGTAAACAAACTTGCCTGACACCGGTCTTTATCTCGAACGATTCTGTGAGCTGTCCTCTATGTACGATTTTGCATATTAATTCATTATAAGAGTTTTGCATGATGTTGACTATCTTCTCAGGTACGTTGTAGTGTCGGAGAAGCCTCCATAGTGTTGTTCTGTCCGCGCTCTAAAATGATTTCTCGTAGTCAATGAAGTTGATGTGGAGTGGTGAATTCCACTCAACTGATCGTTGCATGATTATCCGTAGTGTTGAGAGTTTGTCGGTACATGATCAATCCTTATGGAATCCAGCTTGTTGATCTCGAAGTTGGATGTCTATATCTGTTTAACAACACCCTGTTGAAGACTTTTCCCGTAATTCGGAGAAGAGTGATGCCTCGGCAGTTCTCACACTTTCTGAGATCACCTTTCATTGATATCTTGATCAGGTGTCCTAATTTACAATCTGTTGGTACTTGTTCTTCATCCCAAATCTTACTGAAGAGAATGTGGAGTATCTTAGTATTTACTGCTAAGTCTGACTTCAGTGCTTCAGCTGGTATATAGCCAAGTCCTGATGCTTTCCCATTCCCGATTCGTCCGATGGCCATCCTGATTTCTTCGGTCGTTGGTGGAGTAACATCTATAGGAAGGTTTGTGTTTCATTTTTCCTTTTCTTGAGGCTTTTACCGTTGTCATTTCTGTTTCATGCATTTCTGCTTGTTGGTTCCTCTTCACTTGCCTGTTTGCTTCTGTGTATTCATCTTGTGTCTAGACTTTCTCTGCTCTCGTTCGGCTGAAATTGATTGCTGCTTTCTTGTTCGACCTTTCTTGAATCTTATCCAGTGTATCAACAATGAACTATTCCTTGTGATAGTGCTCCTCGTGACCCAGAATCTCCTCACACGTTGTAGTTAGTGCTTCTTTTGTCCCTTTTCATTTGAGTAAATCCTGTAAGGCTTGAAACCTGTTGTTGAGAGTTATGCTGAATTAGTTATTATCTCGAAGAAAGGTTTTATTGAACACTTTCAAGGCTTTTTCCCCAATTATTCAGTTTTTCTTTCGCTTCATATTCATCTTTTAAGCAACTAGATAGTGATGATCTCAAGCTATGCCACCTCCTCTCCTAATTCTCATACCATATATTCGCCTTCCGAATGTTTTAGTAATGCAAACATGATAGATCTGGTTCTCCGTGGTATGATCCGTCGAGACCAACGTAGCTTTGTGTATGCGTTCTTGTAGTAGTATTATACAACCTATAACCGATTTTTTCGATACATATTCCCGTTCTCCTCTCTCGGTCAGTTCATATCGTCCCTATATACCTTGATGACGGTTGTTGTCCATTCCGACTTTGGCATTTAGATCTCTCATCAGGATAGTGAGATATTTTCTTAAGCACTTCTCTACAATTGATTGCAGCCTCACATTACACTGGTCTTCATCGTCTTGATTGCTATCACTGATGGGTGCAAAACACTGGATAACATTCATTATGATCCCTTTCTGTTTTTTATAGATGCTTTCGTGATTGTGGATCCATTAGATCCTCATCCAATAAATGCTTTACGTGTGTCCCTAGACAGCATTGAAGCAACTCCCTGAGTGTGTGGATCATTGTTCTCTTCGTGACAGGAATACGGCAACATCTCATCCGATTCTAATCTTTCCTATTCAGCTTGATGCCAATGGATTTCATTTATTCCGAGCACCGTCAACTGGATTTTCCTCATTTAAGCAGATGTTTGATTTGTCCTCTCGGTCTCCTACATTATCCGAAAGTTCCATGTACTTATAAAAATCGTTGCTCTGGTTGCTAGAAGGTACAGCGTCCTCGTGACTTCTGAATACTTTCGGCTTTCATCATGAGGCATCATTGTTCTTCAGTCAACTGGGAGGTCAGAGTTTAAGTGGTTTATTCTGTATAACTGGTCAGCGTTTCTTTAGCAAGGTGCTTTCTATGGCATGAGACTGCCGTTTCCGTATCAAACCATCCTACGTCGTATGGACTTGAAACCGTCAGTAACCGTAGAAGAGTCACTGGCGGAATTTCTACATTTATATTGCATATAAGTCAACTACTAAGTATATTTGAGTCCCTAGTACTACTATACGCCAATGATGCAAACAAGTGGTGCAAAACATCAGGGGACGCAGATGAATGTGCACTTCAGTCTGATCTAGATGTTTTAATTAGCTGGTCCAAAAAGTGGTTGGTGCATATCATCGCGGCAGTTTGTCTACATACGCTTTGTGGATACACAGTCAGATAGGTATAGTATAAGAGAAGTAAGTGTTCACGTAGTTCGATCTAACAAGGATCTAAGGGTGACAGTGAGCCACGATCTTAAGACCCCATTACACTGCTCCGACATAGTAATCAAATGGTTTGGAACCCTTTAAAACAGACATTTATCAATTTAGTTACTAATATGTTCACCACAGTATGCACAACCTTCAAGATATCGAAACTTGAAAAGTGCATTCAAGCTGCAAGCCCTGGACTTAAAGGGGATTCAGATATTCCCAAAAAAAGTACGGATGAAATCTAGCCTTTGGGGTTTATCATACAAAGCGAGTCTTTTTTACTCTATTCCATTGCCGAATAATAAGTGATCTGATTTTGACGTATATAATAAGAAATGATTTTAAACCTGATATATCCTCCCTTATTTTTCTACCGGGTTGAGACAACTCAGTGGACATAATAGGCGAGTAGAAAAGCCAAGAACGAATAGTATACCTGTGGCCTACAGGTTTCCACACTGAGTCATCGATTCTGGGAACCTGATACTCGAAGAAGTGGTGCCCACTTCTTCAAAATACCCATTTAAGAGAAGATTGGACACTCTCAGAAGTTTACTAGAAAAGCATTAGCGCTGGCCGTAGTCCTGTGCTAACTTGGCAAATCTGGTTCTGGAACACAATAAATATTGGTACATGATGTCCAATTAATGTCCCCAAAGAAATGTCAAGCTTTTTCAAAAGATACCCGGATAATCGTTAGTACGGGGATATACAATTTCATGAAATAAAACCTGACATTTTTTACGAAGATGAAAGAAATTGTATATCAGACAGACTAGTTGCGTTTTCAAATCTTAGCGTTACCGGTAGGTATAGTTGTCCTTTCATGCAGTAATTTGTTATATTAGTTAACAGAACTGATTTTTATCGGCAATTATTTCTGAATTCCAGTATTTAGCTGATATTTTCTGGTTGATAACCAATGTCATAAGTGATTTACCATAATGAGTGTCGAGAATGTCAGCTGATCTGTTATGTTAGCAAATTAATGGATATAGACAATGCAGGTTTTGGCGTGCGATTCAACCTTGTAGGAAGGCCTATTATTTCACATCAAAGGGATTATCATTTGTATGAGAGAATATGGGCAGATGCTAGTCATGTTACTTCAGAAGTTGTCATGTACACTAGGTCGATTTTAAAAAGTGTTCAATAATCTTCAATTATGTAGACTTACCTAAACTTCCATTTACTATGAATTGAAGATGAAAATTGATTTAAATTAGAAGTCTTAATAAATATGAGAAATGTTCAAGTACAGCGGAGAATTATAATTCTCGGAAGTAAATGACGATAGCAGTTCTAGGTTGTTATAAAATCCACATAAACCCAATGCACATGAACAAGTTTTGCTCATTCTCCAACCTAACTCTTGCGCTCCTCAGAAAAACGCTATGGAGAGTTCAGTCCAACGGTAATAGGTGACCGATTCGTGGTTTTTCATCACTTGATTCATGATTATGGTAATCGTATTCCTAGATAAACTTGAATCGGGTCCTCATTCTCTGTCTTCACATAAAGTTTGGCATATGTAGGGTTTGTGTTAAACAAGCTTGAAACAACAGATTTGATTCAGTTCATAGTCAATCAGAGAGAGGCTTTTTTAATCAGGTTGTAGAGCGAACAATAATATTACAAAGTGTAAATAAATTTCGGACAGCTTATGGATTCACTGAAGTCTTCTACAAGTTACTCTACCCGTAGAATGCCAAAACAACAATAAGTAAGGCCGCCTATGTTGAATATTCGTTTCCTTGAATCCTCATAATGACTGAATTTGATTTTATAACTCCTCTAATGCTTTTGATTAGGGTTGAAGATTTGGGGTCAGGATTGAAGTTTTCGTCATCAAGTGATATCAACTATTATGCGAAAACTCCTTGTAACTATGTGCATAGACGGATTCCACTTCAAGATTCAATGAGGGCTATTTTATTTATTTGAACACAAATATTGGTACGAAGGGGCACCGAATACATATGCGCAACACAAGTCACTTGATTTGTGTGTGGGTTGTGATACTGCCCGGACTGAAGCAGGTGGTTTTCTTAGAGGGCCACACTCGGAGCCTTCGACCCAAAGGTCTGATCCACAAGGCAGTGGAGCATCGCCAGGAGTTGCAGTCCCATGGAAGCCTATAACCAATAATCGGTTCACACGCCATTTGTTTTTTCAGGATACTGGGGCCCATGTGCACCATTGGTTTGGAATCAGGGTTTTCCAACTCCCCTAGGTGGACCCTCTGTATCCATTTACCTGGTTAATGCTCCGGACATTCTCTTATCGTCCTCTCTATTTCGTAAACAACCCTCCCCCCGCCACAAAAAAGCAGTGAGTAGGACTTCCCTAGCAGTGGCTGTATACTTCTAGCCATGTGAGAGCATTTCGAGAGGGAGAGCTGAATGTCCCCACCATCGGCCATATCCGGGTAAATGGATGGAATATAATCTCAAGAGGTTAAGCTTGGTTTCAAGATCGGGTGTTTACAGTCGAGATTCTTACAGTGTTCCTGTAATATACAACCAGTCGATGGACAATTAAGGATTTGATTAACTTAACACTCACTTTCGCCCAATGTTGGAAACACAGATTTTTGCTATGATCTCAAGCATTCTAGGCGTTATTCAGAAATATTCGCACTGTTCGTCATACCTGGGATTCCAATTTTGACATTAGCCCACTGACTAACATACCTTCAAAGTAAAATCCATTACCATTACATATTTGAACACCCTTTTGTTGTAATTCATACTTCATTTACAAAGCTGAGTGTTTATGTATATATATATATATATATATATATATATATATACCCTTTTTGAACATTTTCGCTATTCATATGTAATAATATGGTTTTATTACATCTGTAGTTGTGGTGTGTTCTCACTTTCAAACATTGGATTATGTGGTAATGGTATATTTCTTAACTAGTTCATTTTCAAAGGTGGAGATGTGTCACAGTGTTCAGTCACAGATATATTTTGGAGTTTCACAGTAATGTCAGATTTATTAGACATAAACCATGGGTGCCTAAATTCAGGCTTATGCGTCAGATGCAACCGTATGATTCACCAGTTGATCTCAGAGATGATTACGCTAATGAGAATGAAAGCACATCAGATTTACGTAGAAGGTTACGTAGAAATGGAATGTTACCTCCCCTACTTTTTTATGATCGCTCAATAAATATTGGACATACAGGTAAACAGTCACTTTTGTCGTGAACTTAGGATTGTTTCCCTCTGTTAAAATTGGGAATAAATATCCTATGTGTGTTAACTTCTTTTAAATTCGTTTGACTAATATTGATTCATATATTTGAGTGTATAGTGGAATTTTCGTGGACTGTATGACAGCACAGTTGTAATGATAGGGCTTGACTTAAGGAAGAGGACGACGAGGCTAGATGAGAATTTGGTTTGGTGCCAAAAATATGTTGAACACTATATTCAGGTGCACTGATCTTTGTATGTTTTATTAATGATTAATAATCGGTTTTTGCATAAATTAGACTGAGCACTAGTTAAGACTTATCAGTCAGTAATTTACTGCATAAATACTACTCATATCACAAGATTAAACTGTTACAACCAACAAGTATAACTTATTCGCTGGGTAATGTAAGTGTTTCTTCCTAATACCTAATGTACCGTCGATCATGTGAGGGATCGGTACACCTGGAGCATCCAAACTATTTTCACTATACTAACTACCACTCTATATTCTTATCCTTAAGTTATGAATGTTTTAGTGTATTTGGGCATCGTTAGAATACAGTGGGATAGTGATAGGTTCAAAGATTCACATTTCAGTGATTGGTATTTTTGGCTGTTTTATCTTTCTGACTTCATTGAATGCTAAACCGATTTCAATTAGGTACTTTTATGCAAAGATAACCTTTGTGTTTTTATTTATATGAAAAAATTCATATTATCCACTGCTAACCATTTGAAAAGTGTATACTCACTGTCTTGTCTGAAGTAACTATTAACATACTAAATAGACTTTCTCCTATTAAAAGCAGAATAATGCATGTAAACTACTGTCTGTTTGTCTGGTGTCTTCTTAGGAACTATAGTTGATCCGTACATCCCTCCTGATGGTGATGGTCAAAGTTCATTGCTGTCAACAAAGGTAGTTATTACATTTCAATGACAATGTTTGCAATGTGCGTTGTTTTTGCTTTTAGAGACTGACTATTTTAAAAGATAATCTTCTTAATAAGGGAAAAAACTATAAGGATTCATCACTGCTAAAATCACATGAACCATCATTTAATTCCAAACAGTTTGCTATTGAAGCTGAAAATATTTATGTTGAAGCTCATGATTTGTTACAAAAGTAAGTTTATATCAACTTATAAACCATTATATGTATCATATGAAAATATATGTCCTATATTTCGTATGTTGGGTGCGTGTATTAGTTACAATATTCCAAAAATAATTCAGGACCCTATTGTTTGTTGTTTATCAATTAAGGATAACCGGGAGTAATGATATATTTATTTGAACACATGAATATTGGTACAAGAGAGCGCCAATATATATGCGCCACACAAAACAATGAGAATTCGAAGAAAAGTAGAAAAAAAGCTAAGGAGCGCAAAAAAAGAGAACAATAACGAAGAGATTGGTGTAAGGCAGTATGGTAGAAATGAGAGAACGGAAAGGTACAATCAGAAGAAATCTCTCAGGTGAGGGAGACACAACCACTTTTTATGAAGAAAGTAAAAGAAGGTTACAGAAGGATCGCCACTGGCTTCCATTCTGAGCCATATCTGATAACGTCTCTAGCCACTGTGTAGCACCATCTCTCAGACCCCAACCAGGGAGTCGTGAAGGACCGACAGAAGCCAGTCCTTTGCAGCTTTCTTTCATACCACGGCACCATGTCATGCACTGACCACCTCTCCACTTCTTCCAACCAGTCCCAGAGTCGGCAAATAATGCACGACGTGGAATTCTCTGGGACGACATTTGGAGAACATGTCCAAGCCACCGAAGTCGGTGTTTCAAGATGGTGACACCAATTGGATTATCATCTCTGTGCCCGAACACACGATACCGAACCTCTGCATTACTGACATGGTGTGGCCACTGAATGTCAGCAATCCTTCGGAGACAGCGATGATCGAACACAGAGAGTCGTCTAACATCCTCAACTCTAAGAGTCCAGGTTTCACAAGCATAGAACAGAACTGCTCTCACCGACGCGTTGTAGATCCGACCTTTTAAAGCCAGACTAACATCACGAAGGCGCCAAAAATGGCCCAGATTAGCATAAGCCGCTCTGGCTTTCACTATACGTGCATTGATCTCATCACTCACACCCCCATCAGCACTTATGCAGCTACCTAGATACACGAACTTCTCGACTTCGTCTATCTGCTCACCATCCAGGGTGAGTACAGGATTGGAATCCTACCAGTCTTGTAGAAGAACTTTGCACTTCGAAGGTGCAAAGCACATACCATACCTACGGACACTGATTGCCAACTGATTAAGTGAGGATTGCATGCCTTGGGCATTATCGCACAGTAAGACAATATCGTCCGCATACTCAAGGTCGAGAAGTCTTTCTCCAGGCAACAGATCCACATCGCCATTACTTACATTCATCAGAGCTGTTTTCAGAATGTCATCGATGGCAAAGTTGAAGAGGAATGATGAGATTGGGCAACCCTGCCTAACCCCATTGCTCGAATGGAACAATGGAGAGAGTTGGTTGTATGCCCTCACTTTCCCTAAGGTGTTTTTATATAGGGCTTTTAGGATGTTAATAAACTTCTCAGGCACACCCTTCTTCCATAGAAAATCCCAGAGAACAGTCCTGTCCAACGAATCGAAGGCATCCCTGATGTCAAGAAACACTACGATTGTTGGCCTTTGATAAGTATGGCGGTGTTCTAACATTTGGCGGAGGGTGAAGATATGATCAATACATCCTCGACCAGAACGAAACCCAGCCTGCTCCTCGCGAGTCAATCTTTCTCGGGTTTTGAACAACCTACGAAGTATGACGGAAGCCAATAGCTTAGACGTAATCGGAAGTAGACTTATCGCCAGATAGTTGTTACAGGAACGACGTGAACCCTTTTTAAAGATAGGGACAACTATCGACTCATTCCATGACGTTGGTAAACTCTCTAGTTCCCAAACCTTTGTAAATAACGTCGTCAATTCCTTAGTCAAAAAGTCACCACCATCTTTAAAAAGAGCCGGAGGTAAGTCATCTGGGCCAGGTGATTTGTAACGCTTCAAGAGTTGGAGATCTTTGCGGACTTCCTCCTCGTTTGGTGGGTCAGTCGTCACCGGCCATGGAGGGCAGGACAGTCTGACTGATGTTGCCGGAGCAGCAGGCCAGTTGAACTACCCTTCGAAAAATTCTGCCCATCGTCCAAGACGTCGATGGATGTTAGTGATTGGCATTCCATCATCCTCGCAGATTGTTTCACTCACACCAGACTTCTCGCTGCCAGTGACTCGGATGAGTTGGAAAAGCTTCCGGTAGTTACCAGATGCAGCTGCTGCTTCCAGCTCATTAGCAGGCTTCGACCACCAGGCTTCTCGGTCCTTACGCAAGCTTTGCCCAATTTCCCTACGTAACATCCTTCGTTTATGGTCAAACTCACGGTCACCCGGAGTAGACCGACGGGCTTCAATGAGTTGTAAGGAACCAGAAGAAACCCAGTGCTTATAAGCGGGACGGTTCGCAAACCCACAACTGACTGTACCCAGGAGCGGCAGTCTTGTACACAACCACGCCAGCGGTAGCTGATCGCGATGTGATCAGTCTGAGTCTAGGCTTGAGATGCAGAGGGAGGACGCCAGGTGGCACATCGGCGATGACTGTGCCGAAAGTTGATGCTAGCCAGAAACCGGTTGTGGTCTGTGCACAGTTGCAGTAGACGGTCCCCGTTATCTGTCCTGCGACCAACAAGTCCCCATCGGCCACCCAAACGACTCTCCTCTGTGTCTAGACGCCCGACCTGAGCATTCAAGTCTCCGGCTAGTACTACAATATCTGTCGAACGCACTTTCTGGAGAAGAACAGATAACTGGTGCTAGAGCTCATCCTTGATCGCATCCGGGTTGCAATCTGTCGGGGCATAGGCGGAGACGACGAAAAGACATCGTTTCTCACGCCGATTTCTCAATTTGATGGAACTTTCTAATCTAACAGCACATAACCGACTGTTGATGGGGATTCAGTCGATTAGTGCTGCCTGAGCTCTAGCGCTTAGTGCGACATCAACGCCAGCAAGACCAGACGAAGATTGAACAGGTTCCCCGGATAAACGCACGTAAAACAAGCTTTTCGAAGCGACAGATGGAGATCGAATTTGTAGTACTTCACCAGAGTCTTGAATACGGGTCTCGGATAGACAGCAGACATCGATATGAAGACTTTCCAAAGACATAGCCAACCCTATTTGTTGTCCGACCTGCATAAGTGTGCGAACATTGAAGGCAGCCAGTTTGAATGGTGCACGTGGTTTCAGAAAAACTGCTTCAGTCCTCGTATTCGGTGGTAACATACAATTTTCAACCGGACAGTGACACGAGAACGTTTAGATACAGTCGAATTTCCACCAAAGACGAGCCGCTGTATAAGTATAAAAGAGGGTGAATAATGTGGATAATAATAATAATAATAATAATAATAATAATAACAATAATGACAATAATAATAATAGTATTAATAATGACAATAATTGTAATGATAATAATTTGAATCACTTGCTTGTTTTTCGAAGCGAGAAAAGTAATTTCCATAGACATAGAGAGTTCATCATTTGTGTGTGGGCTGTGATACTGCCCCGGTGCCCAAACCGAAGCAGGTGGTTATCTTAGGGGGCCACTCCCCGACCCTTTGACCTAAAGGTCTGACCCACAAGGAGGTGGAGCATCGTGAGGAGATGAAGTGCCATGGTAGCCGGTGACCAACGATTGGTTCATACGCCATTTGTTCCCTCAGGATACTGGAGCCCATGTGCACCATTGGTTTGTGATCCGGTTAAAGTGACGGACATTCTCTTTTCGTTCTCTCATTTTCGTAAACAGCACCCCTGTAACGAGAAGGCAGTGAGTAGGACTTCCCTGGCAGAGGCTGTATACGCTTGGCCGTGTGAGAGTATTTCGAGAGGGAGAGCGGACTCTCCCCACTCTCGGCCATACCAGGGCATTCGGGGGCATTTAAATCTTATGTCGATTTATAATGCTAAAAATACAGTTTTCTTTATATTATATAATCAAACAAAGTTTCATATACTCAGCTTCAAGTCATACTTTGGGATTATAAGTGTCAATACTCCGAAGACAAAAAAGCTAAATATCCAGTGCAGAATATATGTTTGAGACACAATTGTCTTAAACCAACTGTTTTTACCACTAAGTCATAGCCTACGACTTCAATTTAAGTATCTGGGTAGTATCACTAACTCTCAAATTGAACGGCTAGATCAAACTCAAATGCACAATGGTTTGCTTGGTTACTTACATGGATTGAAATAATTAATTGTTAAAATTTCTACAGTATGATATAACTTTTCTCGAAGTTTTCACTACAGTCGTACTGTTACCATAAGTGTCATTCTCATGGCTACTCTCCAAAATAAGTATAGATATCCCTGAACTGTCCAAGTAACACCCACTTACCACTTTGTGTCGACCTGTGAGTAATTTATTTCCTATTTTGATTGCGTTTTAAGAGTAGATGAAAAACATGTCTCACTGCTATAGTCTACTATCTGTCAGTATCTGATATGGTGATGTTTGTAGGAGAAGCTTCATCACAATAACATTAGCGAACCAATATGTAATGTCCACTAAAGTTTCTATGATATTATTTACTCATAATAGGTACATGTGTGAATGCTTGGCTTCCCCCAATACTCTAATTATGGGGGCTAGTTATACTACTCGGTCTCCCGTATTGAAATAGGTGTAGGGGGTTTCAAACTTGCGATTCGATGAACAAAAGTCGAAAGCCTTAGCCACTGTTCCGAAGTGTCATATAATTGGTATATAGCGTTTAGTTTATGGCAAGTTTTACTACGGCATGAATATATATCTATGTTACCTCCGTTAGTCCTCGTGAGGAACAGGCCACTAACCGGGGATCTTCAACCAACTATCCTGGGCTCTCCTTTCCAGCTTTTCCCAAGTGTTTTTCATCCTTGATATTTGCCTTTAGTTCCTGGCTCATGTTATTTGATCTGACTCTTTTATTCTTGCATAGGAGATTCCAAGTTAGGAGTTAGTTTGTGGTCAAGTTTGTTGATTTCCGTGTGACTTATATATCTCCAGCGTCTTTCTGTAATTTTCTCTTCTGATGGAACCAGGTTTATTCTCTGCTACAGTCGATGACTGCTGACTTTATCTTGTCAGGTTGTATCTCCTCATTTCCTCAACTGTTCGATTCAGTCAGTCAGCTACGACGTAGGATCAAGCACATATATGCATAGGTCCAAATTACCACACCTCAATAGCACAACAAGATGGACACCAAATTCATAAAAGTAGTTACATCAATGGTAGTAATATATAAAAAAAGACTGCCCGTAATGATATGATACAGGGAGAAAGAATTAGTTCGTAGAAAGAAAGTTATAGAGCAGTTTCGCTTTTTAAGGGAAGGCAGAGAGTGATCGATTCTGATCCATGTAACCTAGAGTCTCCAACTGTTGTTACAATACTCGCACAGACCCTAACCAAGTAGTCCGCATCTGCCAACATAGCTGAGACTAGAAGTCCGTGGCTTTATGAGTTGATGCCACGTTTTGTTTTAGCTGCCTCCTCCATGTCTCAAACACTAGTCATTATTGCTCCTCATGGTAATCGGTGTTCAGGCATACGTAATACGTGGTCTTCCCGGACTCTCCTATTGTGCGAAAATTTCATGTGCTTTGGTTATCAAAAGAAGTAGCGGTCTTGTGACTTTCAAGGAACCTCGGCTTTTATGACGAGGTGTTATCATTTTTCTAAGTAAAGATCCTTCAACTCTCAGAGTATAGTTTAAATGGCTAAAAGTACTCCAGACATTAGGCATTACAGTTACGATTAGCTATCTTATATTTATTTCGGTATATTCAGTTTTAACAAATATAGATGCAAAACTTCATCCAGTGGGAGCCTTTAAATATAAACTATTGAGCATGTATATTCCGGATAGTTTGTTTTGTTTTCTATATAGAAAAATTGACTTACAGTCATGAAGTTATTTCATGTATTACTTATAATATGTCATGTTTAATTGTTTGAATTAACTTTCAGTTATCGTCAAAATGAATCCCGATTATTTGAACTAGTTACGGAAAAAGCACTAGTAGTAAGTTATGCTTAACTGTTTCTGTGTTTCAACTCGATTTTCATTCTTTCATGATTGCTTATCGCTATTTCAGAAAAAAATCAAAATCACGTGTCATTGTCTTGCTGTGTATCTTATTCACTGTTTTTCATGACAATGGACCATGAGAATCAGTTTTGTAATTGTCATTTACCTAACTTCGAAAATGTTATTATTTATCGTTTTTATCTGCGATGTGAAATTTTATGTAAATTAGTCATGAGAGTGTCTTCGAGTATTGTTGATAGGATTCGATTAAACTGATATTATTTGATTTAAAGAATTTAGTATTACACAATCTGAGAAATGTATCTTCTTTAATTCTACTAGATTTCCCTCTTTTGATTATTTAGGATCTGGGACAAAATGATACTTTCAGATATCACAGCTAGAATGAATCAGCAGCGATACTAAAAAATAATTAACCGGAATTAGGCATAAACTGTACAAATAAATAAACTGAAAATAGACAATTTTGGGAGCGAGAGCAAAATAAAGTTAGAAGCAATCTGCATTACTAAGATCGATTATAAGTCATGTTGTAACAATTCACTTGCCCATCTGCTCTTATAGAGAACATTGTACTACTTCTTACAGTTCGATCCAACATCAGTTTCTGGGTTGTTGTCATATTTTCATATGAACACTAATGTCTTTTTTGCCGTAGTTGGGCCAGTGTAGCTAAAGGAATCAAAGTTTGCTATGAATGGTTGGTAAATCTTTGAAAAATGTCAGACTTTTAAATAACCCACAGGATTTTTAAACTTTCGTTTCCCCCGTTTTTTGAAATGATTGTTATTGGATTGCTGGTGGTTGACTCGTTTGATCACTCTCACTAATTCTTGATAAGTATTTGGCGGACTGTTTTAATGGTTATTTAATCAACTTAGTTCATTCGATTTTATCAACTGGTTGTCTGCCTGTTTAGCACCTCATTTACATAAAAATCATACTCTGGGAATATTGGTAACTAAGTACCAATAATCCTTATCTTATTAAATTATTTGTAAACACACCTCTTCAGTTTACCACTTAATAATGTTTTATTTCCATAATAATTCCTATCATAATAACATCAAAGTTTTATAGACATTCTGATCTTCACTACTTTATGTTATCCCTATTTTGTTAGGATATGACTGCTGACCTAAAACTTCGAACTCTGCAATGGAAGTTTGTGGGTAATATTGAGCCACCTAGAGTTGTACAAATACGCTGCAAGGAGCTTATATCTAAAGGCAATTTTTATGCTCAAGTTACAGTTCGTTTCTATACACAACAGGTAATAGGTCAACTAATTACTAATGTATGACTTATCATTATAGCATTGTTCCTTGATTTATGCATTTATAAATATTATTGACTAGTTGAATGTATAAAGTTTTAATTATGAATATGGCTCTTCGAACTACCATTCACACTATTTATTTTAATGTTTGAGTCTAAGTTTAGTATCGTAAGTCTACATAAAAGTCAGTGAATCGCTGTGTCCTTGCTAGTATATATATACTTATTTTTTTCTTTCGTTTAACTAACTCTATTTTACATGTGTGTACAGTTTGCTACTATGAAACTCCCGGAAATGAGTGTTCTGTAAATGTGCTATATATGTTTAGCTGTGATTAGATTTTGTTATTGCTTTACGAACATGAAGTCTATGTTTAGTGACATAAATAATTAACAATATCAGCTTAAAGTTGAGCTTCAGATAACACGGAAATAATTTGATTCTATCTGCAACTGTTATATTTGCGTAAAGTAGTTTATCAGTCAATTGATTGTAATCCCATGTTTCCCCTTAGACATACATAGTTTGGATATTCATAAATATTAAACTAGTTTGGACTGAAATATGTCAATAGTTGTTCTTTAGATTGTACACAATGATCTATGTGTCCATTTAAGTGTAAGGTATAAAAAAATACATTTGGCTGACTTTCACTGAAAACTTCTGACTTTACAGAATGCTTAGTTGTATGCTGCCCATTGACTGCTCGTATCCAGTTAGAAATGTTATTATGAGTGATTTTTGTATATCACTTTTTTTGTATAGCTAACTAGTCTTAGAATTTTATTCTTTGTATATTTTTGTCAAGTGTTATCACCTCTTCTGATATTCCTTTGAAATAATACAGATTTTATCCATTTATAATCGTTTTGGGCGCCTACTATATGGCAATCCGGATACTGCTGTCGATGTGCTCGATTATGTTGTATTTGAAAGACATGTTTCCGATGAATATGGTACATGGAGATTACACGGTAAAGTCTCTCATCCAAACTCTACAGTAAACTACACCTATATACCTACTCAGCGGTTATTCTCAGTGAATTCATCAACAACATCGGAAGCAAACAAATTGATCGCAAATAGTCGAAATAATATTGATGATCCAATATCAGTAAACAGTTCGAATAAAGATAGTGTGAATTAATTTTTTATAAATTTTGTTTATTAACAGAAATTAATTAGGTAATAATCTTTTGTAAATGTTTCGTACTGATACTGTAACCATTTTTCACTTGGTTATGGGATTATAAGACTAACATCAGTCTACTGTTCAACCACCAATATAACAAAGCTATGGGCTTATTCGTTATGATGTTAAGTGCCACCCTACCTTCTAACGTTTGACATCTTTCGTCACTTTCGAGTTCTAACCTATTTGTTTTAAGCTAATATTACAGAAAATAGGTGTTGATAATTTTAAGTATTATTATATTTCCTACTGGTAGTAGTGGTAGTAGTCACCATTCTGTATCACTGGTATACTTTATTTTCAAATAAGAAGTATAGCTCCCACTGGAATTGTTTCAATCCGCATAAGTTTATTTACATTTCAGCATTTTTGAGTTAAAAAGACCTCAAATCTTTAATTTTTTCTGCTATTTATAAATGGCATCTTAGATGGATTTGCTCATATTCTGGCAGTCAAATTTTCAGTTAAAATAAAAAAAATGAGAACTCAAAATAATTATATATAGTTATTTATCAGTATGGGGGTTGTGGAGATTGTTAAGTTTTTGGTTGAGATCATGAATTAATTGATGTTAGACCACCGTTGGAAACCTGGAAGCACTGGACGGCCGTTTCGTCCTAGTATGGGACTCCTCAGCAGTGCGCATCCACGATCCCGCACCCCGCGGGACTCGAACCCAGGACCTACTGGCTTCGCGCCTGAGCACTTAACCATTAGACCACTGAGCTCACTAGTGACTAGCTTCGTGAGGGAATTCTCGGAGTTCTAGTGAGAAGTCGTGACCAGTGGAGCTAATCCGTCCCGGGTAGAGACAGGTATCTACCTCAGTACAATGGAAGGTGGTCGCGCAATTTCGTGGATTGGTTGATGTTAGACACTAACACCAGTGGATGCCGGCTCAGTGGTCTAATGGTTAAGTGCTCAGGCGCGAAGCCAGTAGGTCCTGGGTTCGAATCCCGCGGGGTGCGGGATCGTGTATGCGCACTGCTGAGGAGTCCCATACTAGGACGAAACGGCCGTCCAGTGCTTCCAGGTTTCCAACGGTGGTCTAGCATCAATTAATTCATGATCTCAACCAAAAAATATATAGTTATGTTTGAGAGGGTTTTAAGTCATTAACAATTATTAGGATCTCGAGTTGAATAAAGCTGGAAATGTATACCAATGGATGCAACTTTAGTGGTCTAATGATTAACTATTCACCTCGATCCTTCATGAGGTCATGGATTCATACCCTTTGGTACTCCATACTAGGATTTACATACATACATTATCACACTAAAAAGCAAATTTAATAAGTTATTGGTTCATTGTATGATACCGTTTCTAGAATGGTGAGTAATGATGGTTGTAATTTGTAGGTATCAAGAACACGATGCACATACAGTTTCAATATACCATAGAAACAAGCTACTATGTACATCCATTTGTTAGTGTATAAAATAATGATGTATTTAAAGATTTCCATCTATTAACACCAAAAATATTAAAGTATTATCTCAGCTGTCAACATGTTATCTCTGAATTTCAACATGAGCACGAATGTTCGTCGGGAGAAATACCGAATCTAAACTTATTTTGGGTGTTGGCTACACCAGCTAGTTCCATTTATTGATACGAACAGATTTTCTTTTCTTAGTAAACTATTATTACAATATGCGTTTCTTAATGGTTTTTCTGATATTGATGTTAAGTCTTACAAAAAAAATAACATATAGGTATTCCATACTATATTATAGAGTTAGGACTCTGCTCGGATGAAATCATTTGAAAGACTCATAGTTTAAAGGAAATATGTAATCAAGTTATAATTAGGTGTTATTTAGTCTAAAAATTATTTTGTACATTGTGCTGGGAATTAACTTAATTAACCTCGTGAATTGCACCTCAGACATATCGTGTATTGAATCGACTGACTAATATCACATGTCAAGTCACCAATCAGAATCTTAATGCTAATTTTGCCTGTTTGACGTTCGCTATTTTATGGTCTAGCGCCCTAGTTTTGACCAGTGACACTCCTGGTCAGGAATGTTGATTCAGAACCTATATGATGAAAAGAAAAGTTAGTTTTCGATTGATTTACTCATTATGAGTTTTGTTCAAGATCACTTCCGTTTTGATTCAATGTAATGATTACTGAATGTGGTATTTGTTCTTTTCTCGTATGATATTTTATTCTGTATTCCTTTGATATGAACTATGCTCAGTATGTGATTTGTTATAACTCTAAGTATTTTTCATATATGTGATTTCATCCTAATCATTAATCAAAATGGGTGTACAATCAATATATAAATGAGTTTATTTTCTACTAGAGTCGTTGTTGTCGTCGTCGACGTGTTTTGGGGTTAATAAATCGTCACTTATACTAGTCTTTGTGTTCTTACTTTCGCGTCGTGGGAATTGCAGAAGTCCCTCGTTCCGAGTATAAGTGATAAGCGTTTCCAACATAACAATCAGCGACGACCAAATACAAAATGTAGCTTTAAGAGAGCCAAGACAATAAGCATTCAAACGAACGGTTATAACAAGAGCCGACTCAGTTGGGTTCCTATTGGCCCGTTATACTTAAACTTTTCTCTATACCCTGATTTAAATCTGAAAGTCGGCAACCAGCCCCTACCATACTTATATTTTAGACAGACGTGGTTGGTATGTAGGCATACTAGACCACTTCACATCGTAAAATGAAGAATAACAATTATACATAAACTAGCCAAAAAAGGCTGTGAATAGAAGTTGTAAGTGAAAGACTGGCAAAATTTTAGGACCTGCAAGTCGTATAACAGTAGTTAGTGTATCAACTAAAAGCTCATAATGGAATATATAAACATACCAATCCAGTTACTCAGTAATTATACGATATGAATATGTTCAATATAAACCCACAAATTTGGGATTCACCAACCCTTTCATCCTCATTGTAATATACGAAAACTAGCGAAATAGACATTCAGAGTCTGATAATTTATTCATTAAGAAGTCAAGCGATGTTTTTTCGGCTGTCTTAAAATAAATGGACCGCAAATTTTATAACATAACTGATTAAATTATGATAATATATTATTATTCTCTTAAAACAATCAATTTATGCATTCGCTTACAATCATCTACACATTGAGAAGCAGTGGTACTCACTGATAGCGAGCGATCAACAATATGTGTAGGAATTTTATGAAGTAGACAAAATAGCTGGCTGATTGGCACATACCAATAAGGTTGGTGTATCCTGGCACTGGTTCGACTTTCGTTAGCACCCAAGTATGCACACCAGAAAACAATCGTACCAGATTGTTTCTTGTAATCTTCCATACTACATAAGCAGTTTGATTTAAGTCATAAATATCGTGACGGTGTAATGGTAATTTACTGACTAATTATTACATATAAAATGAAATTACTGAGGGTCATTGGTCACCTTGCATAGGATTTTTCGACAGTTTTTTCCTTATTTTCCTTTGTATTAAACATTTCTTCATACATACTCAAGGGCAATCATTTACTACTATTTTAAAATAATCCCCATGTTTTCGATTTTCCTAAAAAAGACATCTACAATAAATAACTTATCAGGATAATATATCCATTTCAGCACAATTAAATAGGATAGTTTGTATTTCCAAACAGTGAATACAAATTTGAATGGTGCACTTGGTTTCAGAAAAACTGCTTCAATATTCATATTTGGTGGTAGCATACAATTTCCAACCAGGCATTGACTCGAGAACGTTTAGACAGGACCGAGTTTCCACCATAGCCGAGCTGCTGTATAAGTCGAAAAATAAGGATACATAAAATGGGAATAAAAGAGAGTGAATAAATGACGTAAATAATAATAATGTTAATCGTTTGATTGTTGATCGAAGGAAAACAAGTATTTTCCATCAATATCGAAATCTCATCATATTTGTGTGTGGGCTGTGATACTACCCGGGTGCTCAAACCGAAGTAGGGGGCCACTCCCCGACCCTTTGACCTAAAGGTCTGACCCACAAGGAGGTGGAGCATCGTGAGGAGATGAAGTGCCATGGTAGCCGGTGACCAACGATTGGTTCATACGCCATTTGTTCCCTCAGGATACTGGAGCCCATGTGCACCATTGGTTTGTGATCCGGTTAAAGTGACGGACATTCTCTTTTCGTCCTCTCATTTTCGTAAACAATACCCCTGTAACGAGAAGGCAGTGAGTAGGACTTCCCTGGCAGAGGCTGTATACGCTTGGCCGTGTGAAAGCATTTCTAGAGGGAGGGCGAGCCCACCCCACTCTCGGCCATACCAGGGCATTCAAGGGCTTGGACTGGTTGGAAAGGAGGAGAGGTGGTCAGTGTATTATATGGTGTCGTAGTATGGAAGAAAGCTGCAAAGGACTGACTTTTGTTGGCCCTTCACGACTCCCTGGCTGGGGTCCGAGAGGTGGTATGACACAGTGGCTAGAGACGTTATCAGATATGGCTCAGAATAGAAGCCAGTGGCGATCCTGCTGTAACCTTTTACTTTCTTCATAAAAAGTGGTTGTTTCTCCCTTAACTGAGAGATTTCTTCTGATTGTACCTTTCCGTTTCCCCCATTATTATTATTATTATTATTATTACACAACCTTACACTAATCTGTTCGTTATTGTTCTTTTTTTACGCTCCTTACCTTCTGTTTTCTCTTCAAATTCGTTGTTTAGTGTGGGGCATATATATTTGATGCCCTCTTGTACCAATATTTTTGTGTTCAAAAATATTAATAAATAATAATAATACGAATTGCTGTTTATCATTACGTGAAAATGATCATGATTCTTTGTGATTGTAAAACTCATGTATATGTTAAAGGTGAGTCAGAAAATAATCTCAAAGTGGCAGATACAAGTTGAACAGAGGAAATGAGAATAAAGCACAGACAGTAATCGTATTATTACATCCTACAGAAGCCAGCTAAAGCTGTGACCTACATCCTTTCACACCGATAAAGATCTATTTAGTGTGGATATTTTGAGAATTCAGTTCACTTTGATTATAAAAGCACGATCATGCATTGATTACATTTAAAAAGCGGCTTTGTTTAGATTTGGGAACAAATAATTGAATTGTTTTAAACTTGTATGATTATGAACAGAATAGATCAATAATTGGGTTGAAAATTCTTTCAGCAAGACTATTTTGTAAAAAATGAACAGCATATTTGGTATTACTCTATAAACGACTCTTAACATTCGATTTACATTTACCGTTTAGTATAATAAATACTGGTTTGATGAATATCGCTAAACTAATTTGGTCGTAAAAACAGTTTGTAACATAAATATTGCAGTTAACTTTGATTTCAGAATTGAACGAAATATAAATCGAGAACCAAATATTACTTTTAATAGTGACTATCCACATAGAAATTTTCTAATTATTCATAGAAATCAAATTATGGTACTTGGTAAAACGCTTACAGAATGTCTATATGGGAATCTGAAACTCAGGAGTGATTAATTTTGTTCAAGACCAGATGGCTCCTGTTTTTGAGAAAGATCTGTTTGTTATTGTAGTTAGTATTATTTGCAGTATTTGTTAAAATGATACTATTCGGTAACGTACACTCAGAGAAGTCAAACTCCTTCAACATAAACACCAATCTATTAGAATTTGAAATGATCCGAAAGTAATCAAATACAATGTCACCTGAATCACAAGTTCCTATGTCAGGCAAGCCCTGACGAACCACATGCTGTTCCAAGTTCAGGTGTAATCAGCCTAATGTTAATAAGTGAATTATTAATCTGTCAGTATAGGGTTGTTGAGATTGTTGATGTGATCGGTTCATCATCTAAATTATTTATCTGGCGAAGGTTGAATCCCAGTACATCTGTGTCGATCACGGCAAATATCATTATGAAACGGCTGTACTGTCTTTCCGTCTAACCATAAAGCATATAGCAGGTCGCATTTTCCCTCTCCACCGTAAGCATTAGTTGCCGAGCCGGACTGTACAATGCACTATACATATTTTAAAAATAGGATATTCTACTTGATGATAATTTTCTTTCTCTTAAACCTTTGCAATTAACGCACTTGACGACCTCGTCAATAATCAAACGTGATTAAAGTCTTTAGTAAAATCCTCGCTAACATAAGGTCAAGTACTTTAGGAGTACTTTATTACAATAAATTTTGACAATTATTAGTTTCATAACAAAATCGGAAAAAGTGAAACTCGAACATTACAAATCAATATTACTATCATTATTGTTATTATGAATTATAATAACATTCTGTAAAATATAGTTGTTTGAGCTTATATCCCGTGATAAAATCTCGTCGTTAAATATGCGATCTTCCTTTAACGTGACCATAAAACGTTTACTTTTATAATAAAAATGTGATTCATAGTCATTCTTAATTTATTGAAATGTCTGTCTCTATAGGCATTGTGTAAAGAACTATAATGTGTAATGGAATTCAAATTACTGATTAATTATAAATTAGATATAAATGGTACATCTTAGCGTTATCCCAATTCGAAATTTTCTTTAATCCTTGATTGTTTTATCCAGTTACTATGTTTATTGTGAACAAACAAACGTCTGTATCGGACAGTAATTTCTTCAGTCAGATGCGATTTAATTCACATCTATCTAATACATTTGTTCTTCACACCAAACCGAAACAAAAACCATCTTTTCAATCATAGCTGTCTCCATGACATACCTCACCTATTGTGAAGAAACAGAGTAATCAGTGCTGGGGTATGAAAATGAATAATAGGTAAATACGATAAGTCCGCCCCTCGAATTGTGACTGGGGGTTTATGACATGTAATACGTATGCTTGACCGTCATCTACCTTGACGCGCATTGCTAACCGGTATAAAATTAAGCTGGAAGAATACTGAAGCAGCAAAGGTAAGCCATATTATTAGTTCACCAAGTCACTAAATGTTAATCTGAGCCATATTAATGGACGCAAACTGGCTAGTTGGAAGATGCGCGACAACTCTAACTAGTGAAGTCGTTGGATGACATAACATGGAATTGGTCACAAAGGTTAAGATGGGCTAAATTTTTACGCTCCTTCAGATATTCATATTCAATATTCCTCTATACATACTTTTTCACTCCTCATTCTCCAAATATGTTCTTATTGTTTATTCTTTCTTACTATTATCGCTATCATATTATTTATACTCTTATTAATTTAATCTCATAGACCTAATGTGGTATACCAACTACAGAAAACGTACATTTTTGTCAGACAGTAGCTTAATTACGCTTGACTAACTAGCATAACAATGATGCCATAAAATAAACATTATAAGGACAGATTTGACGATTTATGAAAGATGATCTAATTGTTGGAACGTTACAATGCAAGTGTATAGTCCATTTGAAATTTCTTTGAACAATCTATTATTTTACTATTGAGACTTATTTATTTAATACCAAACATATATAGTTCTCAATAAAATGAATATTATAATTATATACTTATTTGTATACGAAGTTTGATAAACAAAACAATTTATTCAACGCTACTGACAATCGTAACTAATGGTTGGAGACTCTTGGTGACATGGCTCATAATCGATCACAATGGCGTCGGTGTATACACTGTCTGTCTTCCCTTAAACTAAGAGATTAAAATCGCTTCATATCTTCCATTCTACGAACTAATTCTTTCTTCGTGTACTATTTCCTTATTGCAATCTTTCTTTTATATATTACCGTCACTGAATGAACTACTTTTATGAATCCGGTGTCAATCTTGTTGTGTTATTGAGGTATGGCAACTTGGACCGATGCATATATGTGCCTGGTCCTACGTTGTAGCTGATTGACTGACTGACTATTAAATATAAAGCAATTTATATCATTATATAATGAATAAATCAAATTGTTTTACATTACAATCACAGATAAGAAATAACAATAAATAATAGAAAATATGAAGAATTCCAGTTAATAGCAAGAATAAGTTAGTTTGAAAACATTTATCCATTGTGCTTTGTGGTATAAATTATGCAGAGGAGAATTAAATTTAAAAGGGAAAAACATGTTTTGGCACTCATTAATTTAATTGATTGAATTGAATGTTATCAAATTAAATGAAAAAAAAAACAAAAAGAAAATAATAATAATAAAACAATAATTTTAACTTAACAAAAAATCTACATTTTTCGCTCGAAGAACTAATGATTGCACAACACATTTCATTTTGAGCAGATGTGATATTGGCACATCAATTTGATGGTGATCTGTGTAGATAAATTTTTATTTACACAATGTAAATAGAATAATAATAATAATAATAAATTACTGGTGAAATCTCGCTACTATAACTGAACAGTTAAAATATTGATGATAGAAGTTAGTTCAAAGTAAACACACCTATTCATATAGGTGGTAATAATGAAATGAATAGAATTAAAATATGTTGAATTAATCTTTTCTAGGGAAAAAAAATGGAACACTTCAAAAAATTCACATGGAAACGTGTTTATTAGGAATCCAGGCACAAAGTATAAAACATAATACATCTCAAAAGAGACATTGTAATTAATTTTGAGAGGAAAATTATGTACAGAAATAATATAGAAATACATTGGGGAATGTATGTACATATATATATGTTTGATAAATTGGTTAAATTTCATTGTAAGAAATGTAATTCTTTCATTTTGTCGCTTCCTTGTTTCTTTTAATCATACACTTTTACAAAGTATCAAAAATGGAATCATTTGATATGAAAACTTATTTGCACTAAATATAACATCTAGAATTATATATTACTCTGATAAACAAGGGAATAGACAGACTGATAGACAATTAATATACAGATAAAGAGGTAAACAAAACTTTGATATAAAACTCAACTGATATTCACGTTTAAGTAAAAAAGGTAACGGAGAGAAATCTTAGATGAAAAAAAACAATGATTTTTTCCATCAGAAATAAAATTGAGTATTGAACATGAACTATTTATTTGTGAAAAAATGAGTTTAATCTATCAATCGAAATGAACTAAAGTATGATAACTCTACAATTATTGGGGAAAATTATAGTTACGAAAGCTCCTATGCTTTAGATCAATAACAAGAGCATTTTTCAAAACACATAGCGTATGTTGGGCGTGAATATATGAAGACAGTTAGAAAAATTTCCTCTTTTATAATTTTTCGATTACAAACTTATATTATGACAGTATTACAATTGATTTAAAAGAGTAATGGATTCAGTAATTGGTAAAGCAAATATTTCACAAACTAGCTATTTGTGACTATAACTCATTACTGTTACCACTGACACCATTGTTATTGATTCCATTATTATTATCAAGGGTATTAGTATAATTATCAATATGTGTATTAACCTGAATTGCTTCATTATTGGATCCGTTGAGTTTTACATCCGCTTTATTGATAAATTTGGTGGGAGGGAAATTATCAATAATGCTACTGCTTAGTATATCGTTTACGTTACCAGAATTAACTTGGAAAGGAATGTTTCTATTACCATTACTATTATCATGGATGACAGGTGATACTCCCATCGTTGTGTATGAAAACAAATGAGTTTCCGGCTGAGAATTATCGATAATTTCATCATTTAAACAATCAAACCTATTTTCATCACGAAATTCATCTAAAACTCTGTTTGTATCTTGCATGTGAATATTTTCTGAAACCGTACGCCTTTTGAATACTTTCTGCACATCTATTGATGTACCACAAAACACAGGTTTATAATTATAAGATGCAACGTCCGTATTTATTTTCATGAAATCACCATTGGTATAATGATTGATAACTGTACTATTAGACGATAAACGTTGAGTTAATCCACCAAAATTAATACGATAAGTGTAATTACCCCATTTAATGCGCCATGGATTAGATAGAGCAATAATAAAAACAACATAGACTAATAATTCACGACTAATCCAAGCTAGTAGAAATTTCGCAAATGAAAATGGAAGTTTTGAATTCTGTTAGTGAAAAACAAAAAGTGAAACAACGAAGAATGACATACAGGCAGAAAAAGATAAAAAATAAAGGCAAAGTACCACAACGTAATAGAGAAATCAGTTTTCTACAAAAAACGAACTGACTAATTTACAGAATAAACATATCCACTTCGAATGGACCATAAGGCGGATAGTGGTCAGTCACTTATAAACACTTACCGTATCCATTAACTCCGACTGCAGCTCCTCTGGAGCTACTATTAGTCCTAAATTAGTTTACAGAAGAGGATTATGAGTTGTGAGAAAGCAATTCCAACCTCGTTATAAAATCGCTAACAAGAGAACCGTATTGATTATATTTTGCGTCAAGCCGTTGGGTTTAAATGTTTTACATGGCAGAAAATAGAATATGAAATTAGAAACCCCAGCTTTAGAAATCCAACAATCTTTCAATCAAAAGGTGGAAAATGTACATGAACTAATCTCTATAGTTTTAAAATGTTAACTTATTTGATTTCATCACTTTTTGTAAATATTTGAAAAAGCAAAATATTGATATAAATTTATCCTACTTGGTGTGTGCCATTTCACTAAACAACTGTTTTGCCCTATTTTGAAGTCATAAAGTTGTATGCAACAGCGACCGCATATGGAACCGAAAGAAGAATTTATAATTTTGCCAGTGATCAGTGAATTTCTAGATGGTGTCAATCCAGAATGAAACTCAATTGTCTAAATGATAACATTACGTTCATTACAGAAATCCTCGATTTCTATTATTGTCAACCTCAGTAACGGCGTTATATCGCGAAATGACTTATATTGGACACATAAAACATTGAATTCTATGTATATATGTATAAATGTAGTGAGTTCCCATCGAAACTTGAAGGTTCTGTTTTTAAATCCTGTAGGTGTTGAATACGAGCACTAATGTAGATCCTTAGATTAAGACACAATAGGTGATCAATTTAACCTCTTGTCTAGTGGATCAACAAATGATATCAGTAAAAAAATCAAAACTATCATAAGATAGAGTTAGTATACCAGAATGGATGAAATCAACAAATCATTCCAGATGATTAGTTTGTAATCTGTAAATTAAGTCAAATTTAGTTGTTGTTAACTTTAATAATATCGATATCGGACGAAGAACTATGATCATCTAGTCTACTGAAATACTATCAATTCACTTTAGGTAAAATCAATAGTAACCAGATTATTTAATTTAATTATGAGGATTAAAACTGTAGATATAAATTTTTAAAAAAGTCCGTCGCTAAGTCATATTACTTTCCACGCAAATCGAAAATATTAACATGCACTTATCTTAAAAGTTAATCTATGATAAAATATTAAAATCTTTTTCAAAAAGCTTTGTACATGCTTAACTACAACAAAGTGAAACGTTTTTTGTTTTTAATTAGTTTTTATTCAAAAAGATGATCAGAGAACACAATGTAATAAACTATACTATAAAAGGGTGGAAGTGAAAATGAAACAAAATAAGCAGAGATGGATGATAACTAGCAGTGGAATCCAGGACGCGCATTTCGTCCTATTTGAAACTAGTCATCTGGATGTACAAATATCCCAGAGTTGATATTCACTCCAAGACTCCAATCCAGTACCATTCGTTTCACACGCTACCGCGTTGTCCACTAAGCTATTGAGTCCAGATAGCCACTAGCTTGTGCAATGGGCTGAAGTTTTAATTCATTTTTGTATTGTTTGAATCCATCGCTGCTTAAAATGTTTGTTATTTAAGACACTATCAAGGCGATCCGTACAGGATGCACATATGCCAATTAGACACTGATCAATCGCAATCCTAAACATCAATGGGAAGATTGAAGCAACCAATAAAGGAATGGAAATGAAATAGTTATTGAAAACAGATCATGAGACTTTTATGCTTAGCTAAACATGTACATACTAGAATTATGTGAATAAAATGATTGTTATCTAAAGATTCTGTTCTGATATGTATTAAATGAAAATTTAAACAAGTTGAATACATTCCTGAAGAACGTGTTTGAATTTCTGGTCCTTAAATGAGATCTTGCCTATGTGAAATGCACTTCTTACAGTGACAAATTATTTGGATAATAAAGATCGATATTATTTTGCTAATATTCGACTGACTAATTATGGACAATTATAAATAAACCGGTATAATTTGAATATTTACTAACATGTAACTATTATTAAACTTTAAGTCATACATGATCTGTGAAAAAAAGGATACTGTGATGTATGCTACATATCCTGACAGTTATAAGTAGTATATAGCCGCAATCGAAAATTTAAAATCTGGGAGAAGATTGGATTGGAGCGAGCAGAAATGAAATCGGAGAGCAATCAAAATAACAATACAATTAGAGGAACAATGGCATAGGTAAAGTAAAACTCAGAAAATACTTACAAATGATGTAATTAATGTATGATTTTCATATTTTACTAAACAATTAATTGGTTTACCACACAAAAGTCTCGTTTAATACAATCGGTGTCGCAGCCAGTGTAATGTATTTTACTTGTGCTGACAGATATAAGTAGGATACATCATAATTTTATCTAGTTTCTGTAGCAATTGAAGCCTGTGATCAAGGATTGGGTTATCAAACTTTTTAATAGTTGTCTCACGTGAACAATTACTCGAGAGCCGGATATAAACAGTGTTGTTCAGTCTTGAGTGCTGTTAAAGGAATGAGGGCGATTATCAATTCCCGGTTGCCCACATCGTGAAAGGGTTCTTTTAGAGGTACTTGAAAAAGAAGTTGGATCAGAGGTGATCTTAGTGACCTGGAAGTGTGACTGCAGTGCCCAAGGGACAACTGCTTGAGGTTGGTCACATACGACCTTTTTTGTGGGTAGTTTTCGTGTTAGCTGCGTACTTGTTGAGACCTTACCGCCGAAGGCGGATATCCGTGTGCATTTTTTAGGTCGGCCTTTTCTAACCCCAGCCCTCCTTGTGGGAAGACAGTATCGCTGTTATGCACGTTGTCTGAAGGAAACACCTTACTGCTGTCACACCTCTGTACAGTCAGCAGTACGACTTCACTCTCAGAACTTGGGGTTTGCTGTTTTTTATCTTACCGTTCTTCAACTGATCTGTCTGGCATGGTAGGACCTTGAAGAACGATTGTTCCAGCCAGTATAGCTCGATTGGTTTATCACGATAGGCAAACTCGACCACCACGTCAAGGTAGCAACAACAGTCAGGACAGTGTTATTAGAAAGTAAACAAAGTAATATAGGATAAAACATTTATCAGAGTCAATCCTTCAATAAGATAATAAAATATATTTCCACCTTCATATCAAATTAATATCATCGAATTCAATTCATTGGAAAATCAGTTAACTGTGTTTTCTTTTGAAGAAAATTTTATTGATGCCTCAATAATGAACAAAACTAAAGTACTGTGATTTCGTTGTTATACTGAAAGTATAGGATTAAACTAAGAAATTATCTGAAAAAACGTGATTATCTACAAACATGGAAGGACAAAAAGACAAACAGAATAAACGTTTTGTGAGACAGGACTACAAAAATTCACAAAGAATAAGATTTTCGCTACAGCTGAAATTTTGAGATAAACAGTTGATTTTTATAGGGTGATAAATTAGACTATGAATAATATCGAATGCAGACACGACAGCCACAATCAAAGCAGTTATTGAATATTACCAAATTTATTCGAGAATCACAATAAACAAACTTAAAGAGCATCACTAATATCAATAAATATTATGAAATGAAACTGGTATACGGATTATTTCAAATGCAAATGAGTGTGTTTTTAATCAAACTATTTTTAATGTCGTATAAGTCATTATAAAATATAAATAGGTGTCATAGATTCTTTGAAAGGAGAATTGAAATACTTCAGTTTTGCATCGCTTTTTGGAGAATCGTATTATTAATTTTGTTGAAACAATTAAAAATACTGGTGATTTTCAAAATCAGTAGTCGCTGAGAATACTTCAAGATATATTCAGTTACTAAATACACATTTATGTACATACGTAAAGTCTTTTAGGATGAAGAAGTAAAGATACGATTTTCAATCAAAGCTTCATAATGAAATGATACATCATTCTATTACGGTGTATGCTACTTGTGCTAAGAGACATAAGTAGTATGCAGAAGCAATCGAAAGTGGAACGCCTGTCAGCAGAAGATTTGTTAGGATTGGATTGAAGTGAACGGGAAGGTAAACATAGAGCTATTTTATTAACACCAGAATTCAAAGAATCATGAAGTACATCAAAAACAAATGAAGGAGGATGTTCAAATAATGTATTTAATGTATGGTTTTCATATTTTATGAAAGCACCCAGTAACTTTGCACTAAACAATAAATTGGTTTACCCCACCTGAATTTACGTTTATTACACTATGAACAAATTGGTACAGTGTTACAGAATAATAAGCAGATATTTCACTTGTGTCAGTCCGCAATTTGTATAGTAGGACATCAAAATATCACAATATTATTATTATAATACCTTCTTAGGGACGGTGGGTATCTTTGTCCTTGTTTTCTTTTCCATCATATGTTTGTCGATGAATTTCATGGGATACCCATTCATACTAAGTAAGTTGCGAATGTTATTCAGTTCTTCTTCAATAGTGTCTTCGGAGCGAATCATTGTAGCCCGATGAGCCAATATCTCTATTAAGTTCCTTTTGTATCTGATTGGAACTGCACAATTTACTTAATATATTTAATAACGTTCATCCATCAATTGATTTTACATCAGAAGATGAACAAAATGATAGCATACTATTCATAAAACTACAATTCATAAATGACACCATTGAAGAAATCTTGACTCATAAACTAAGAAGAGCCGTACAGAAAACATTTAATGCTGCCAGATTAAATGCCATCTTCTACAACCATCCCAAAATAAGAACATCCATTAAAGACAGACTGCCAGAATTCGCCAAACTATGTGTATCTATCGTTTCAACTGCTCCTGTTGAGCCAGTTATATAGGGCGTACAATTCGGCAAGTCCGTCATCGTATTACAGAACATCATCCGTCATGGGTAAGCAAAGGACAGGTAAAAGGGATTAAAAGTTCTATTCTCTCTCACTTGGTCGACACAGGTCACCAAGTTGAATTGAATAAAGCTTTTAAGGTTATCTACAATATCCCATCAAATTTGCCACATGGTTTACGAGTGCGCCTCTTGCACATTGCGGAAGCCATCGTGATCCATATTCACAAACCTGACCTTTGCATTCAAAAGAGATTCGTACAACCACTTTCTCTACCCTGGCCATCAGTATAAGATTTCCTTCAAAAGAACTATTTTGCATACTTCTTCCACTTGTTTTTTGTTTCTGTTACTTTTGAACTTTATAACTTCTCAACATTCATCTCTTGATTCTTACGTAACTACTATCCTATTGACCATCCATTAAAAAATTCTGTTCCTTCTCTCTTTTTCATATATTACGCAACGTAGCAACGTCTTGATTTTGAATAATTACTTTGATTATTAATAATCCTCTTTCTTCCAATTACTCAATGTTAACTTAAATGTCATTATGTAATTATTACGTAACGTATCCACTCGATGAGTATTATATCATTATTGTAAATCATATATATATTAGTGTAGAGCCATGATGAAAAACTTCAAGACTTGTTTTAAGCCTTGATCAAAACTATAATATTTCGAGTGCAAAATATTTTCGCACATTTGTTATTCTTGTTCTGACATTGCATTTTTTACTATAAGGTGCACACTGCATACTTCCTTATCGAATTACATGCACATTGTATGCTGGAGCGGCGACTCAATAGATAAGATATTCAACTTTCACCCTTCGAGTTCCAGATTTGAACCTCACTACATCAATGTTACTGGTCATCAAATTTAAAGTATGATGCGAAGCTGAGTACATTAGCATGTATATGGTAAATGAGTGTGATATGATGGGATTAAAAAGCAAAATTACATTCTTTTACTCACTGTAATTTTTGCTCAACAGTACTTCTGTTTCATTAATTCAGTGTGATAATTACTCAGTGTAGTATTTGTTTTGTTTTTCCAGTGTAATAATTAATCCGTTATAACACTAATTTATTTGAGTGTGATCTTCATTTAAGATACAATATTCTTGTATTAATTTAACATGAACTACGCACAGCATGACACACAGCATATGATTTGTTACAACTCTAAGTAATTTTCAATATATGTGATTTCATCCTAATTAATAATCAAATGGGTTTACAATCCACGTATAAACGAGTGCATTTTTGACTAGGGTCGTTGCAATGTTTTGAGGTTAATAAATCTTCACTTGTACCAGTCTTGTTGTTCTTACTTCGCGTCGTAGGAATTGCAGTGGTTCCTCATTTTACAAGTATAAGTAATAAGCGATTCCGACATAACAATTAGCGACGACCAGCTATAACAATTGGTGACGCAGTCATAACAGAGTGAAATAAAAGAAATACACATTATAATTCAACAATTTGTAGTTGAAATTCCAAACTTATATACGCATGACAGTTTAATATTGAAGTCAAAAGCTTGTTAATTAAACCCTAATATCCTTGCAAGAAATCTAGTTTTTAGAAAGTCTTCATCACTTACTTGTATACAACGTAATAATGTATAATCCAATAGTATCCAAAGTGTAAAATGCATCATAATTAAATAAATAATTTGAATATCAAATAAATAATGCATAGTTAATGCAAATAATAAACCAAGTGTAATTGATTCACATAATGGCTCCAATACACCTGAAACTAATGGCAACATATTCAATCGTAGCCGAAGCCAACGAACCATTCGCCTGATATAATTTACTAATGTACTATTACTAACATTTTGAATAACTGGATAAGATGACAATACTACCCGATAACCTCTAGAAAAAAAAACACGAAATATAAAGGATAAATGTAAAAAACATTAAAAAACAATTAACCGTAAAACTATAATAGTACATTGATCAACATTATACATAATCATTATTTACGCTACTGAACCACGTAATATACATTATGTTTTGTTTCTTTAGGCAACAGCATGTAAATTAAAACAAAAAACGAATTAATTTAACAGGTTTCAAGTCAATGGATGATTGAAGGGCGATACAGAAGTAGTTGAGTCTATGGTGAAAAAACTTTATGACCTTAATTTTTACAAAAATGTTAAAATGGAACATATTGTATGGCAATGATTTCCTAAAAATTAATAAGCCCAAGCAAAAACATGTATAAATAGATTGAGAAACTATATGAGATTTTTTATTACTGTATAAAACAAATAAATACGTGATGAAATGTGAAGAGTTCTGTCAAAAGAAGTGCAATCTAGTAGAGAAGAAAAAATCAACTAGATAACCGAGAAAATCGAAGTTGATGAAAACGATCTTGGAAAATCAAATATATACTTATATATCTTTTTGTTTACTTGCTATTGTTGGAACGGTCTTAGACTTTTACGACGGAGCCTCCAGGGGCCCTGAAGAAACCTAATAAGAACTTGATGGAGCTTTCAAGAATATCAACGTGACATGCTATTATTGGACGGTAGCATAACGTGCCTCCTTGAGGATTAGCTAAACTATAAGGATATTATAACCAACGCTAATAACTGTAAATACACGTGCTTTCTATACATTTTTGATTCTTACCCAACAATCACTTCACCTTATTTCCTCTGTCTTCGGATTTTTGACTATGGGGTTCTATACAGTCAGTCAGTCAGTCAGCTACAACGTAGGACCAGGCACATATGTGCATCGGTCCAGGTTGCCATACCACATCAGCACAACAAGATGAACACCGGATTCACAGCAGTGGTTAGGTCAAAGGTGGTAATATATAAGAGAAAGATTGCATATAGAGATATAGTACAAGGGGGTTCTATACGTTTGAGTACTGTTAGTTGTGTATCATATTTTGTTTTAACCAAGTAGAGGACGTAACAGCTATCTTGAATAAGTTTGAAACAATTTACAGTAAATGGTTAACCTCATCAAAAAATGTCGTTTCTCAAATCTGTGTAATAGTTTTTTTCTACAAAATATCATTGTAATACACCATATTCTCTCTTTCTTCACAAATACTATGACTGTCTGAAATTTTCATTGTAATAACGCATATTTGAAACGTTCCAACTTGATGAAATACTAAAGAGTTTCAATCAAATACCAACAACGTTTTACTACCCTCTTAACAATGTATTTGTGAATATTTCTTCATCACTTACAATGTTTTCTAGGATAGTTCATTAGACTCTATAAAATCGAAAGTTTATCAATGTTTATCCATGATATTTCTAGCGTTCATCGAACTAGGAAGAATGAGTTAGCAGTCAATGATATATATATATATATATATATATATATATATATATATTCTTACCAAGAATACATGTTACCACTGTTAGCGATGTAACGTCATTTACATTTGCATCGACGTAAAGCGTTATTATATTCCAAAACAATGGAAAAATATTTCCTTTTAATTAGTCAATACATGGTCATTTTTATTAACAGTTCATCAACTATAATTATTGGCAAACAATCAATAAAATTAATTTACAATTATATATTGTATTTGTTTCCTTATTATATTATCTTTATCAAACTAAGGGAATTCTTTATTTTTCCATTACAATAGCTAATTATATAATGAATAGAATGTATTGCTTAATTTATTCAACAATACGTTTTGAATATTTTTACGACTTTAAATAACAATCTAATGATTTTATATTTAATTGTAAGAAACATTCAGTTTACAATTTCTTTTACACTATTATAATCTTAATGTTTGAATTTATGTGTCGATCTAAGCTAGACCACCATTGAAAACCTGAAAGCACTGAATAGCCGTGTCGTCCCAGAATGAGACTCTTCAGCAGAGCGCATTAACGATTCCACACACTGAAGTTGAACTCAGGACCTTCGGTTTCGCAAGTGAACGCTTAACGTCTTGACCACTGAGCTGGCATCCAACGGTGTTAGTATCTAACTGTAATCAATCTATATTCATTCTAATATTCTCCCAAATATTTATCACATTATTCAGTATCTATTAAACTATACAATTGTAGTGGAAACATAATGACATTTATTTGGAAAATTATTATATTTTTAAATAAAACTGAAATTTGATCAAAACATTATTCTTAGCTTTGCGATAATCCTGGTTTATGTGTATCGTGTCAAGCACTTAATGGTAAAATCATCTTGGTGTAACGTATAACATAGAACACTATAGTCATTACTAAATTCTTTCAACATGAATGGTGTTGTTCAAAAGAAATTGTTCCAAGAAACAAAAAGCAAGTTCAATCGTTTTATCAATAGTAAAAACTCAAAAATCTAAATAGAATTTTCTGAATTATTCCAATTATAAGTTTAGTGACTAAACTTTAAACAAATGTACTTATGTGATATTTTGTAATTATACCTCATTATCCAAAATAATGTAAGTGAAGTGAGATTCAAATTCTTATCTGCAACTAATTACATAATTTCCCATTAACATATTAACATTTTAATGATACCGCTTATGCAAAAATTAGTTATAATATGCAGTTATTTATCTCACTGTCTTGAGGCAAAATTAAGAGTTGTAGCATAAAATGTTAGACGATGAGTTCTTGATCTATTAAGCGACTATGAATATTTTGTTAAGTCAATCAACGAAGAAATACGAAATAACCATAACTAAAATGAAATATATACGCGTTTATTATTTACGGACAAAATATACTCAAATAAGTTAGTGTATTCAAGATTAAAAGTTTCAGCTTATAAACCACGTTCTTCAATGAATTAGTTTAGGCATCTGTAAACAAATGTAAATAAGCAACCGGTAATTTTAAAAACAGAAAGCATAACTTCCTGAACACCTTTTATTATTCTATGTGTAAAAGAGATCATTCTTAAGCAAACAATGCTAGAAGCATATTTCACGCTATGAACATTTAGCATCAAAACAGATTTTGGCAGTCATTTAACAAATGAAAGAAAATACAAACTGTATTTAATTAAGCAAACCCACATGCAGTGTTTCAACACAATTTATGATATCTACAAAAATTATGATACATAGTTGAATTGTAAAATCTAATTATTCATGATTCGAAAACTCATCCATGAGAGGAATGATCCGTTTCCTTTGGAATTTCTTATGAGACGCAAACAGTTTTTAAAGGGCTCTTTATAGTTACCACATTGTTTGTAGTTGAAACCGTTGATATAGTGACCCAAATGAATCATTAGTAAGTTAAACACAATGTGAGTCCTCGATAAATGCTTATTAACCAAATTTCTTACATTTCATATCAATACATTGAAAGAGAGCCACCGAGATAGAACGAGAAAAAAAGAGAAAGAAGCTTATGAATTGGTAGATGCGGCTGAAACATGTTTTATACTTTCACAGCCAAAGAGCAATAAATAGCACACTTATGTAGAGTATACACACGATGTGAAAGACTGATGGACTACAGTTCTTTTTAGTAAGTGTTATCACAGAATAAATATATCAATAATATGTGATAATGACCTGACATCAAGAAATAATGATAATAACATATTGAAATACTAGGAATTATATATTTTTGATGTACAGAATAAAGTGATGTAGATTAATGGATTTATGTTGCGTACTGTTTCCCAAAACAATGTATTTATATGGCTCTAAAGGATTATCCAACCAATATTAGTGCAAATCTTTTAGAGATAAACAGACAAAAGAATACATTCTTATGATTTACATTTTTTAAAAATTCCGAATCCAGTGACAAGTTGTATTAGATTACTTTAAATCTTAGCATGACTTAACGCTTATTCATCATGTGTGGTAACAGTGAAAAAGCCTTTTTATCCAAGATACAAAAGGGATAATAATAACGATAAGCTTCATCCACTGCATACATATTGATATAGTAAAGAAAATAATAGCAATACACGCAATGGAGTGTACTAATGGACTTACAATAGCAAGTAAATGAACAGTTTATCTAAATAACAAGTACGTTTTGATGGCTTAAATGATTTCAATAGTTGAGATCATGAGTCGATTGTAGCTAGACCACCATAGGAAATCTGGAAGCACTGGACGTCCGTTTCGCCCTGTTGTGGAACTCCTCAGCGGCGCGCATCTACGACCTACTGGTCTCGCGCGCGAGTACTTAACCACTAGACCACTGAGCCGGCATCCAACGGTGTTAACGTTTAACTTCAACTAAATGGTTTCATTAAATAATAAGATGACTAAGAAGACTGAACTTATAAATAGCTCGTGAACTGATGTCATCAAGTACATAATTATACAGCAATAGATTGGTCGACAATTTAAGGTGAAAAGAGCTCAAGAATAATAAAGAAAAGATCTTAAAGATGAGTAGTACTCAACTAAATATTATCGAATTAAGGTCACCTCAGAACTTTAAAAGTTAAAGATATTACCCATTTGTGATCGCAGATTCGATTTACATCGTTCGATTACTGCTCTTTCAGCAAGGCATGGTAAATCTGATTTGGTCTACTTATTGATCAATTCGACAAGTTACGCAATGTCCAAGTTATTTCCATTATCTATCAGGTGATGAAAAACAGAAATGTCGATATTCATTCTTAATTCACTTAAAACCAGAGAAAGATTAGTCCAACTCTTCAACCAATAAGTTGGGATTAAAAGTAACAAGTTATAAAGTAGTTCCCACTGATAAAACTATAAGTTTACTTGCTTTTAAGACAGTAAATCATAGAATTAAAGAGGACCATTATTAAATAATTGTAGGATAAAATAAGAAATAGTTATTTCAACCAATTACGAATATTTATTAAAACGTTTCACTACAAACATAAGCATTAATGTTAAACTAATAAATCTACGATAATAACGTGATTAATTATCGTTAATGAGTACATTGGATGTATATATATATATATATATACCAACTACTCACTTCTGACACAATGCAGAACTCAAAAAATAATCTTCTGCCAAATACTTCCCAAAATAGGCTAATCCACCAACTTCATTCAACATTGATTTTTTGACAATATACGACATACCGGTAAAACATGTCACGCCTAATTGATTCAAAGCAGTATAACTACGAGCCAAATAACACCCAAATGTAACCTAAAAGGTTAAAAAGAAATATTATTTATAAAAACATTACGTGGTCAGGATTTTAAATTGAATAGTGAACATTTTATAAAAATACACTGATGGTTTCGACACAAACAACTAATTTGTATTCATAGAAATGTTGGATTAGGACATAAACATACTGTGCTAGGTTAAAACGTTTAAGCATACTGAAAACAATAGAATTTTTATTGATCCTGTGTGTAGAAACCATGGAATCATCAACAGTTTAAAAAATGTATTGCAAATGAATCGGAAAGCAATTTTACACCCTCTATATTGCTTTCGGTGTACAATAATAATTAGAGCAAAACGATTAACATCTTATAAATGTCACTTTGTATATATATATATATATATATATATATATATATATATATATATATATATATATATATATATATATATGGAAACAAGAACTGAAACAGTAGTTCCCTTTAAATTCCCTAGGATTTCCTAAAATTGACAAATGTCTTTCATACTACAGTCAAATAATAAATAACAGTCTTGAAAACCTTTAAAATAATGCAAATATAAAATCAAGTTCTTAATACTTATCTCAATCGGCCACTATCAAATGAGACTTAAATTACCTCTGGAGCAAAAGAATACTCCAGTATCTTTGTTATTTTTTAATCTTTTAAATATGTTTAACACAGATATAAACAAATTTCTCTCCAAAACGTTTCATCCTGTTCAACGTTCGAACAGTTATTTCTTCCTATTGTAAACAATCATAGTTTGGTTTAAAAGAAATTGAATGATGGCAAACACATTTCAACCATTATGTTCAAAGTTCAAACCTGTTATATAAGCTAACCATTAAAATCACAAACTCTCATACACATAGACATGAAAGAATAGATTAACACTGAGCGTATACAAACTAATATGTGTTCCAGTCATTTGATAAATTGGATTTTTATCTTCAATAAAATGCAAATATTGAAAATTATTCTGGTCATATAAATAATTCTAAAAAGTATTATGAATATTTAAAATATGTAACTTTAAATGATAAATTACATTTGAAGCATCAACAAACCAGTAAATAGATATGTCAACCTATTTATTTTATATGTAAAGATAAACTATTCAATATCATTTATATTTTGTTTTATAAATCAAAATTCTTCATCTAATCAAATTGAAACAAGAATAAATAATTTAATGTTGAATATAAATAAACCGAAGAAAATCTTCAAAAAAACAAGGACGAAACACATGTGTCGAGGATTTCATCACTATTAGCCATAATTCAATCTAACTAAAATTATTGAAAACTAATGTTTATAAAAATTAATAATAAGAATTGTATTATTGAACATTTTATATTGGATTACAGTAAATAATCCTTAAAACGAACTATGCAAAACATGTGAATATTCAAAAAAAAAAACAGGTATAAAGAAAAGACTTTATATTCATTGGATAATGTTTACAATCAGTCTTTGTTCTATGGCATTTCTTTTCACTTCATATCATGTTTAATGTAGAAATTAAACTGTAATCTTTTGAAGCTTCTTCAAACGACAAATGAAGAGAAAAAACGTCAGACGTTATAATGGTTCTTGATTTTTTCTGTAATTAGGATCATAATAGATAAAAGTTTCGGAAAGATGACAAAATACCATCTTTTATTGGCTTTCATTCTACATTTATCTCTAGGCTGATAGATAAGATAAACGAAGTTTTGAAACGATTATTGATTTACACACAAAATATTTGTTGAATAAGACTTGTCAAATACTCTGTAATGAAAAGTATTAATTTTAAAGAGAGCAAGAACAAAGGTTGGTGCAGAATGATATGAATTCATTTTATTTCGCTAGGTTCTCATCAGCTACTTACAACCTAAAATATTTGAAATTCAACGTTATTACAGATATTGACATATTTATACATAAGAGGGTAATTAAGGATGAATAAATGTATCATGATGTAGCGAACATTCTGATAGGGTTAATAAGGTCATAAAATTTTGTTTCGAATATATAGAGTTTGGGAGCGAAGGTTCCAGAAAATTGAAATAGTGATTAGAAATCATGGAATTAAAACACATTAGACGATTATGTAATGAAGTAACTGAAAAGTATTAAAAGGTCACTTAGTATTAGGTGAACTTGGTTAGTTCTTATAATTTATTCCTTGTAGAAATAAAACAAAGTAGATTATGATATAATTTTAGAATTTGTCAAGGTCATAAGTATGAATAGAGAACGATAGAAGAATAAGCAAAGTAAAACGCAAATTACGTGTCCTTTACTACTGAACAATTAACATGAATGAATTAATAAATGAGAAACACTTTAAGATTTAAGGTAAAACTGAAAAGATCAAATCATGTTAACATAAGGAAATATTGTTTCCAATCTCTTTTATAAATGAATTCTATTTAAAATTAGTGCATAGCAGAGTTATTGCTAAATATAACAAAATAAGATATTGACGAAAACAATGTTGTGGTATCCGTACCACTACGTTATGTGGCAATCCATCCTAATCAAATCGATAATGCAATTAACTAATATCAATGTTGAAATCCTAAAGATAACTAACACTGCTTAGACAAAATTTAAACGCTATAACTAATCAATTAAGCAGATACCATCAATTTGTGAGGGGAGTAAATGATAGACTTTAGAAGTACTGGGGAAAAAGAAGACAGAAGTATAGGAACATTCGTAACGGAATTGTAAAATTTATTACGACTCTTACGATAGATAATTCCGATATAACCCCTTATTGTCCAGTTAAGAAGAAAAGTGTTGCATTTTAGAGATTGTGCACTGTCATGTAATAACTGAAAATAACAATAACTTAGACTGAATGAAACAATGCATATGAAATTTTTGAGATTTCTGTTAAACTGTAACTGAATAGGATTCACAACTGATAAGTCAATAACCAATTGCTTATTGCTTTAAGACTAACATTGTCATAAATAAAGACAGAACTCACTTTCTAAGTCACATACTTTGCTAACAAATGTAAATGAGTAACTTCGTAAAATACTGGTCCGCAAGTTGCACGTATTTCATTAAAATGAAATGCAATACAATATTTGTCAGACAAAAATTAAAGTCATTTAGTAATAAGATCAAACGACATTTCTTAATTATTGAAACAGTGAACTTATGTCTAAATTTTAGTGCATGAAGGATCGATTGTGTTGTAATTACTGAAAAAATATTGAATAATTAAGGACATAATTTCCATTTCTATCATTTTATATATATATAGATAAATAGTTCCAAAACTTTTAAGCTTTTGTCGACATTATCATACCATTAGCCAAAAAGACCATATGATCTGAAAAACTCTGAGTTCGATTTCTTAGGAAGAGGTTATCACCGTGTACTACTGAAGAATCCCATATTAAGAAAAAAACAGGTGTCCGATGTTCCGAGCTTCTCAATGGTGGTCTAGCTTTAATCATGAAATGATTTAGGCCATGAAGATTTAATAAAAATACAAAATTAAATTGAGATAATATGAAGTGACTGAAGATGGTCATTTTAGACAAAAGGTAACTTAATTCTATTCAAATCTAAGAAAACTGCAGAAACCATTTAAAATAAGAACAACCATAGATCAAATGAAATAAAAGATTGATGGAAAATTTGAAATCATCCATTCTTACATTCATGAAAGTAAACGATTTCAAGTCTAACATTTTTTTATACATAGAACATAATGTTTTTATGATCAAAGTTAAAAACTCATCAAACTATCAATTTTACATTAAAGAAGATCTAGTTGACTTTCATTTAATTTATCATCTTATCTTATTGTTTCATTTATCTATTAGAATACAAATAGAAATGTTCACAAAAATAAATTAAAATATCTGCATCGAAATAGGTAATTATTTTTTATTTAGTACAAAACTATTATCAAAATTAAAATTCATTCCACAATGTAAATGCTTATATTTAAAAATCCCACAAAAAATATGGTCGCACTCATTAAAACAAGAATATATTTAAAATTGTAATAAAAACATATATTAAACTACATTGGTTGAAATCATGAGTCAATTGAAGCTAGACCACCATGGAAAACCTGAACGAAACGGCCGTCCAGTGCTTCCAGGTTTTCCTTGGTGGTCTAGCTTCAATTGACTCATGATTTCAATCTGTGAAATTTTTAACATCTTCACAAAACTCCTTCTGATATCTTAAACTAATCAATTTAAAATCATAATACATAGACAAATAGTAAATCAGTATCTACTGAATAGAATAACTTAAATAAAGGGAGTATTTAAAAAGTTGAACCAAATCTGCACCATAATTATATATATATACTCAAAGAGCTAGTTGATTTCACTTCTCCATTCAGTAATTATTTACAACAGATTGTATAAGATGATGACGATTAAAAAGCATTACAAGGTGACATAATTATTTTTACTATAAAAACGGAAATATAATCACACGAAATTTGTAGTCAACTATGATAACGGAAAGAAATTAAGGATTATGAAACATGATATTATAATTTTAATCCTTTGTACTTTGACCTAATTCATCTTAAATATTAAATGTAGTTAACATTTTACTCTGCTATTATTATGGATTATATTCAATAAGAAATTATACAAATAACCTGATTCTAGAATGATTTCTTTTAATAAGATTAACACATTTGATAATAATTACTGTTGAACATTTAATTTGTAAAAACAAACAGACATGTTATGAAGATTATGGATTTAATTAATACAAAAAGTAGAATCAGTGTATGTGTGTGATTTATTACTCTTAAATTGACAACATTTAGAAGAAATGAATTATTTCTTCTTGGTTAGCGTGAGAAAGAACAAATCAGCTTCCAACTGAAGAGGAAATTAGGGAAAGACGATGGAAATGGATAGGACATACATTACGCAACCCATCAAACTACGTCACGAGGCAAGCCCTAACGTGGAATCCTGAAGGGCAACAGAAAAGAGGAACGCCAAAGAACATATTACATCGGGAAATAGAAGCAGATATTAAAAGGATAAATAACAACTGGAAAGAGCTGGAAAGGATCGCCCAGGACAGAGTTGGATGGAGAGTGCAGGTTGGCGGCCTATGCTCCTCCACAAGGAGTATCAAGCGTAAGTAATTAACAAGAAATGGAATCATTTTAATGTAGAGACATTTTAAAGATGAACAGAAATGAAACATGCAACTGAAATCAAAAGAATGCTAACTTTAAACTGAATTAATAATACTCTTTGCAAAAGAATAACACTGAAAAAAAGTTAGTAAAACTACAAAATTCTACTGTTAACCACAAGGAGAAAAGAAATAATACTTCACCAGTGATACTGCGTTGTATTGACAATAAATTCAAAATAAATCCTTTTTTGTAATATCGGCCATATGAACAAAAAACTTTTACAGTATAAAATCATACATAACAGTGTTTTATTCCAACCTACTTCAAATTGGTTAAGTATAGAAAAAGAAAATAGAAACAAATTTTGACCTATGGAAAAATTGTTCTTTTAATTACTTAGCTTACTGAAATCTAAATAGTGTTAACACATTATAGTCAGCTATATAATAAAACTAACATAATATTCTAATCTAAGCGATGAGAAATACTTAATGCAATTAAAGAAAGGTTTATATGATGTAAGTTCTACGTGTATATTTCGGTCATAAACAAATCAAATTATGTTAAGAAAGATGGATAGTGATTGGCAGTGTTTCGTCCTATTCGGGACTCGCCAATTGGAATTACCCAGATCCCTGAGTTATTGATCACCAGAGGATTTGATCTCGACCCCGTACACTTAAGACGTCATTGCGATATCCACTTAGTTATTGAGTCCACATTGTTAATGGCTTGTACATTGTTTTTGTAATTGTTAGGGCTTCAACTACCCAATATAACTTAAATCTGATTGTGATCATTTTAACCTATATTCCACGATAATTAACTGTGTCTTCTACTTGCTGTTTATTTACTGTACAATAACATGTGATATTACATAAATCCAAATAGTGTATTTTTCGAAATACACTGTAAAACGTTTACACCATGTCCGTTATTTATTATACATTAATCAGATTTGATATGATTTCCAATCACTGAATAGTTACAATGCAAAGATCAATAAGAAATTTCAAATACTTGAGTCACTTCGATCATCTGAAGATTTAAATCTGACCAGATGGGTTGAGTGTTAACAAATTTATGTTAATGGTACACTGATCTTGATTGTATCATGCAAATCTTCATCATTAACTTATTTTATATAATGTACAAAATTCCTAGCACAAATGTTAATATATCAAGGGTATGCTAGTTAAAAGTGATATGCACAGAAAAGTATGCTTCATATATAAATTTGGAATAATAAAACAGTGCGTTGTTAATTTACATCCAGACAACTTCCTATGTATTTGAATGAACCAGATCCATTTTTAAAATAACTAGCTAATTTGTACGAATATTAGAACGGAAAGCTTGACAAAAATTGGGCACCGAATATAGATATAACATTATTTGTGAGAATTGTGCCTGAGATAATCGCAGCGATTGGAATTTAAATAATTCTAACCTTTCGTCCAGCAAACTTGTCTGGACTTCTTCAGGGTGAAACTCAAAATCAAAATCACCAAAGAAATACATGTTTAACAATAAAATCTTTACTAGTATAGGGGTTGTGGAGATTATTAAGTTTTTGATTGGTCCAGTTGGTTAAGCGTTCGCGCGCGAGACCGAAGGCCCCGGGTTCGAATCCCGCGAGCGGGATCGTGGATGCTCACTGCTGAGGAGTCCCACAATAGGCCGAAACGGCCGTCCAGTGCTTCCGGGTTTTCAATTGTGGTGGTCTAACATCAATCGGTTCATGATCTCAATCAAAATAAAATCTTCGCTGTGTTTATTCAATCATATTTTGAAGTTAACATTAGTAAGTAGGATAACATGAGTCAGTTATATATGGATCATGTGAAAAGTCCATAATGTGAAAATAAATAAATGAAATGTGTGTGTATGTGTAAGATCGAGTTATTAATAGTTGATATTAGGTGTTCGATTTTTTTGTTTGAAGTAAAAACAAAAGTACAGGTTGAAATTGTTTATGAACCGTCGATGTGCATGTAAAATGAGAACCATCAAATACATAAATGTAATGCTAAGATAACCCAGATTAATTTCTGTCAGAATAACGATGTATGAGAAATAAACAGGTTGGATAGAGAAAAAGTCCAATCACTTGTTAACGAATAATTGTCAAGTAGTTGCTAGTTGAATACCATCCTTTTTGCTCAGACTGTCCTTATTCGCCCATATATACAGCGCTTCTGCTGTCAATACTTCTTTATGTGTACTAAAACCTATCAGAGGTATTTTGGTCCCTTACATACTGATCTTGTGTCCTATTTACGACGTGTGTAATGCTATCGCCGACCTATTTTCAAGTTTCCTCACATCAACCATGGATTTGGGACATTTTTGAAACATTGTTTGTGTTCCTTCAAGCTCACATTCAATTGCCGTTAAGTTTCTCCCATATACACTACATTACAATCATAACGGTTGAGCTTATAAACAATATTCTGTTGTTCTTCCTTTAGAAATCTACCCTTAAATTTCACTACTGGTGATTTTGTGGTTTCATAAGCCCGAAAATACACTCTTATATCATGTTTGTTTAGAATCTCCCTTATTCCTTCCGATGTTTCACTACGGTATGGGATGACCAGGGTGGACTTCCAATCTTTCGGTACACACTAATTTAGTTTTTCTTCCATTTATAATAATCTTATTTACAAATTCTTTGGGGTAGTTGTTATTCTCTAAGCGTAGACAAAATTTCATTCAATTCAACCTGTTGGTCTTCCTTATCTGTAACGAGATTACCACTTTTGCTAATTAAATTTTCTACCAGTTACTTTCGTACAACACTCATGAGTCCAACCGTAATCTAAGTATCTCTCGGAATGTGTTGAATTCTTGAATACATTTATTTTCAACTTATTATTATATCTTTGTTCAATCGAACAATCGAAAAACGCTTGTTTGTGGTCATTAGACTTTATTTCCTTTGTTAGCTTCATGCTCTCCGAAATGCTGTTTACATTTTCAAACAATTCTTTTAAACCATTCCGTTTAATGATTTCATTTAAAGATTGGTCTACAGTGGACAATAAAATGAAGGCTACCCTATTTACCTGCCCTCTATCAATGACATATTATAAAGCTTTGTTGACAGAATAACTTTTTCAATGCTCGATTTATTTTAAATCAAAATGTTACACATCAAAGCTCAGTCTATCTTGATAAACCCGGTTACAATTGATCAATTTATTTAGTTAATATTGTAATGAATAACTTACAAAAGATTTCTGTCATTGAGGGAATGTCATTCTACATTTAAATTAATTATCTTCAATTATACTGTCATTTTAATTGTTATAGTAAGATTGTTCAATTGGTTTAAATAATCAATCGTTTATGATAATACGCATGTAGGTCAGTCTAGTTTACTTAGTTCATAAATCCGTGAAGAAGTTTTAACCACACAGAATAAACTGTTTTAAGTTTATGTACAATATACATATTTAATTTGATTAGAGAAATGATTGAAGGGATTATTTATGACATACCTTTAGTAAAATGATTATTAAAGCTTCATATATTCATGCATTTGTATTCAAGTTAGAAAAGAATATGTATTTTCTAACTGTTGGATTAAGTCTATTGCTGTACAGAGATTTTTTTACATATATTTATAGGAGAGATATAAAATACTCAAAAAGAATGTTAGACACTGAACTGGTAATTGACTTATGAAAGCAATCTCCAGATTCTGACCGTTACATATTACAGAAAACAAATAAAAAAAAACTCACACGCTCAACTAGACAGGATCTTATCAATGATTAAGATATAGGCATTTCAGAAAGATATCAGGCTTCCAGACTTTAAACTTGTTTCAGTAAAAACATTATACGGTGTAAAGCATGAATAAGTGGTAAATAGCATAGTCACTCAGTTAACTTTAAATAGCTAAGAACCTGACATAAATGTAGATCGCTTCAAGTTGAAATAATTTACATCAATAAAGAGAGAGAACATTCCTGAGATAAAGAGCATAGAAGTGAGGATAACAATAATAAGTCCTAATGGAAAACTATTCACGGAACATATGGTTTCACAGGAAAGTAATTATATTAACAAAAACATTGAGTAACTACCATATTCAAAAATCAGGAAACTAAAGAATGAATACATCTCAAATGCAATTGATCGTAAACAATGCAACAAAATATTTTTCATGATATACAACAAAAGCATTTCCTTCCCCTGGTTCTTGTATTTATCGATTTTAAACAAACTAAATATACCTAATAAAAAGTTTAAGTACTCAAACATTCACTGAAATAAAATGGTAAGCAATGCGTAAATTGAATTGATTAAAACCAAACGATTCCAGAGAGATAAATAATTTTGATAAAAAATGAATCTGATGGAATATAAAATAATCGCAATGCAACACACTGTTACTAGAATTAATTAATGCTAAGAAAAAATGACGTTTGACACTTTCATCTTTGTAAAATGAATTGCGATGAAATTTTTTTAAAACGTTCCAAAAGAAAACATCTGCACTACCTTTTCAATAGCGGCTACAAAACCAGAATGATCGGCGAAAAATGGCAATTGATGAACAATGGCAACTGATGGATCATGAGCTTTATAGACGAAATCCCAAATGACCTCTGCGGATGCTATGAAAATTTCATATTAAAACAAAAATAATCGACTTAAAATTATCTTAATATTTATTATAATAATCGTATTTACAATTCAAGTAAAAGGAAGGAAATTTGAAACCGAAAAAATCATATTTAGTAATACGACATCATGTTCAAAAGATAGTATGTAAGTCTAACATTATTATTATTGTCAGTATATGCTTGTGGAGGTTGCTGACCTTTGATTGAGATTATGAATCGATCAATGTTAGATTCGTTGAAGTCAGGGATTAACACCGTTCGATGCTAGCTCGGTGGTCTTGATGTTAAGAGCGCGCGCGAGAGACCGAAGGTCCTGCGCGCAGTATCGTGGATGCGCACTGCTCAAGAGTCCCATACTAGGACGAAACGAACGTCCAGTGCTTCCAGGTTTCCAATGGTGGTCTAACACTGATCGATTCATTATCTCAATCATTATTATTGTTCAAATGTCAGATTAAATTATTTCAATAAGGTAAATATTCCTAAACTATGTTTGAAAATATGCATGCTAAAAGTACAAAAAGTATTGTGTTTATGACAGAAGCTACCTTCACAAAATTAACCAATATACTGTTAATTAACACAATGCCAGTAGAATAAACGAATTTAAAGAACAATGAACATTATTGGAATACAACTTTTGTTCCCACTTAAAGCATAATGGGATACATATCTATTGTGAAAAAATTCCTCCCCTATAACAAAAAATTAGATTCGTATAGTTTATATAAAAATCATGAAATAACTTGTTGTAGTGCAAGTTTACAGTAGGATGAATAGTAATGTACATGTTGGACATTTTTGCCGAATCTTGAGAAAACAAGTTATTCTATGGTTGTGAAATAGCCTATCGTCCTGAGACCTGGCTTCAGCTGTGATAAAATATTCGGAAAGATTGACTTTAGATTGAGAACATTGAACATACTTTTTAACGTCCAACAGTAATTGTATTTATTGACCTTTAGATGGCATTCAGCTTGGTTGATCGCGAGGTTCTGTGGCAAGGTCTGTCATTGAAATGTGCACCAAAGAAGTACATTAAACTTTTGAAGGCAGTCTACTCAAACACTATTGGTCAAGTCAAAGCTTATGGGAAATTGTCTTTAGAATTGAGATATTTGAGTAGCCTTCGTTAAGGATGCCTACTTTCTTCGCTTTTATTAAACTATGTCACAGACATTCTTTCAAATATAAAGCTTTCACCGTCATACGTTTCAGGGATTGGTCTCCTAGCGAACTATTCACTTTTCGACTTACAATATGCAGATGATATAGTTCTATTTGGTGAAAACCCTAACAAAATACAGAGTCTTCTGGCCATCATAAGCAACAATCCAAACATGTTTGAAATCAGATTCTCTACCTCAAAACCTCATATTCTGCTTTAGGATTGGCTCGTGTCACCTCCTGAATTAATTGTAGGAGGTGAAGTAGTTGGATGTATCGACCACTCCAATTATCTTGACGATCTGATCAGTCCTGATGGTCTGCTATCTGGCGAAATCTCGGCATGGATTCAGAAGACTCGACTAACTTTTGCCAATATGCATCACTTGTGGCATAGGCAATATATCAGTCTGTCAACCAAAGTATGAGTTACTGCGCAGAATTTCACTAAAAAAATATTCCAACCTGTATGATCAGAAAGCTTATGATTTTATAGAACTTAATAAATATGATATTGATCACTGAAACAGTCGAGCACTAGTAAGCAGTCCTACATTAGGACGAAACAACTCTCCAATGTTTTCTGGTTTTCAATCTTTGTTTAGTAAAAGTTAGTCTGTGATGGAAAACTGCAAAATCCAATAAACTCCTTAACTCTCTATACTAAGACAAAATAAATAGTCATTCTTGAAACATACATCAGAAATTAAAAATACAAACAAACATGCTTTGATCAATTGGATTACGCTACAGTACGACTAGGCAAGACTTTTGAAGTAATTCACTATATGTATTCGAAAAAAATACGTAACGAAATAATTTCCAACCGACAGTCCGTAGAGCTGATCATAACTTTCAAGATAAACTGAACGGTCATTTAACAAATGTCAAATAAATAACGGGAAACATGAAAAAAATAGGGTGTACACGTCATACTACTCTTGAACTTATATTTACCAATTTGATGAATGACACATTAGTAGTATTATAAGTAATTCATGTACAGATTCATTTCTAGATAATTCTAAATGTTAATAAAAGAATATCTCACATAACCTACTTAAACCAGTTATAAAACAGCAAAGATCACCAGTAGCTGTCCTAATGTTGTTAAATATGCACGTGGCTAATTTATAAACTTAATTAGTCATAGAACCATTGGAATTAATGAATGAGACCGTTAATTTATTAAAATAAATTAAAACAATATCCTAAATTGACTTCCCAGCAAATAAATCTCACTGTCCAAAATGTAAGAAATTACAGTGAATTTACTGACATTGGTGAGTGTATGTACTTGACAGTTAATCGTTTTTAATTAATGATACAGTAATCGTATAAAAAGCATTTAACAACCTGAAAGGTGTTAAACTACAGTCGATGAAAACGTTTAAGTATGTAATCGATAAGTGAACGATTCGATACTAAATTCAAACCCCCTGGTTATAAGTATAAAACTAAGAAATCAGTAGAAGCTGGTAGTTTCTATTAAGCAACTACGTGATTGCAATAAGCTACCTAACTTATCCAAGGTGTTGTTGGAACTCCATAAGGTATTTTTTAATCTGACCACCAATCTAAACAACTCAATAATTGTTTTCTATTAAACTCCTATAGATACCCATTAAAAGTTCAAACACTACGATTATTTTAGCTCTCACCCACATAATAGTGTGCTGTAAGCTGTTTATGCGGATAGTTATAGGCAGTATGTAACAGGAATCGGGAATAAACTGCCCACCAGCAGAAGATTGAAATAAAGAGAAAGAAAAAAAGAAGAGGAAGAAGAAAAAAAGAAGGGAAGAAGGAGAAGGAGAGGAAAGAAAATAGAGGGCGATCGGAACAACAACAGGATTGGAAGAATGATGGACTGCGTAAAGGACAACTTAAGGAGGATATGCTCATGATGGATTTAATGTGTGATGGTCATATTTTCCAAAGACATTGTGTAATTTTGCGTAAAATGATAAATTGACTTACATCCCCTGATTTTTCTATCACTACAATAGTATTTACAATTTCTAAAACCATTGTTTTCACTATGAGACACCAAACTAAATCAGTAAAACTACGTTTAAAGAAATATAAAAAGAAAATCAAACCAAACGGGTTAAATGTAATGTAGTAAATTAAACACTACAAACCGCAAATCTACCTTTAACTCGACTAGTGCTCACCCAAACAAGATTATATTTTGCAGCCTCGTAAGCAGGTACCATATTGTGTACCATTGGATTCACTACTCCGTCTCTACCTCCTGAAGAATTAAAACAAAGATTTATTTTCAAAAAGCAATCAAGATCATTTCTTAATGACTGAATGATTAAATCGTTACATGAAAAATTTTCCACATAAAATTTCACTAACCTAATTATAAATTATTAAGTCAAATTATGTAACTCAGGAATTCCAGTTGTCCAAATGAACGATTAATATCAATGATGATAGAAATGATATGTAGGATTTTAATTACAGGATATACAAACCGAATTTGTAATCCCCAATTTACGCACGATGCAACAACGCGGTTAGATGAAGCTCAAATAAGATCGCATTTAAAATTATTCTAGTAGTTCATAGAGTTGAGTAGATAGCTAATCATATACAAACATGAAATTGAATCGTTACACAGTGCCTGATTGTCGCGTAATTAGCAATATTTATAAAATAGCGAAGTTGTGAAACGTTTCATGTTAATGACAGTTTAACTTCGTTACGCACTTCCTTTTGCGATGTGCGCTTGATTCAAGATTCTGTATTATGGTATACGTTCGAACGACATTTAAGCAATTGGTTGGATAAATATACCATTAGTTTAAACACGTTGGTTAAGTCAACATTCAACGAGTATTTAAGGCACTATTTTTCTTAATTAACAGTTCTATCAAGATAGAATGTTATTGTATATCTTTACAGTTGATGAAAAAAACACTACTTCTTAACATACTTTCTCCTGTTTTCATAAAATAGCTACCTTTTATCATTGGAAAATAGGATCTCAAGGAGCGGAGCAGTTGGTGAATCGTCGACTTCACTCAGCACCCTGATAGAAACGTAAATTTCCAGAGCGGATACGAGAAACTAGTTAGCCTATTTGTGAGCTCCAGATATACTGAAGTAAAAAAAACTAATCACAAATAAATGTCTACCTTCAGCAGGAAGACTGATATTACCATTATGCTAGTTTTTATTTTAAAGATTAATGTGCGTGCACGAGCGTCTAATAAACAAAATTCATTAAAAATCTTATGAGTAGTAAAGTAACAAATACATTTTTTATAAGTAGTGTTGAGTTATTTTGATATGAGTGAAGCATAAAACGGATGGGCTTATCAGCATCATCAGAAAATAATGCTTTGTCAAATTCAGTCACTTTCAGTAACATGGATACAATTATGGTAGATCTTCTAATCATAAAGATAAATTTTCTAAGCTGAACCTATCTCATTATCACGATCAAGAAATAGATTCAACAAAAAACACTTTAGAAACTATCCACATATTAGTTCGAAGAACTGTGTTAATAGGAAACGTTTTATAAAAACAAAAAGTTATCCAGATCCTTTATAGTTATATACTACCAAAAAAACTGTACAGAGTAAATAAGAACTTTCATCTAAATTTGATAAAATAGTTTTACAGTATTTGGGCGCCGAGTTAATGTGAGACATTAAAGAGGTAGAATGTATTTGTAAAATCCTAGCGAAAACATTCGAAGTATATCAAACGTTTCGCCTAGCAATCTGGTCCAAGCTTTTTCAAGGAAATATAAACAAACATCAAAATTATCAAATTTAAATAGATGCTTAGTTCTCCAGTTTACTGTATACTGAATAGGTCATCTAATCAACGTTAACAATTCACTTGATATTGTTTTACTTGAATCTTCCCATTGAGGTTTAAGACTGCAATTGATCAGTCTGTTGTTGGCTTATGTGCATACTGTGCGTATGCCTCGATATTGCCTTAATTTACAAGCATTATAAGCAAAGATGCATAGTGGCTAGCAGTGGAATCCAGGACGCGCGTTTCGTCCTGTTTGGGACTCGTCAGCTAAATGTACCTGCACCTCAGAGTTGATGCCAATAAGAGACTGATCACTTTCAGTCCTAAAACATCAATGGGAAGATTCAAGTAAAACAATATCAAGTGAATTAAACTTCACCCCATTGCACAAGCAAGTGGCTATCAGGACTCAGTAGCTAAGTGAATAAGGCGATGGCGTTTGAATCCGACGGTACTGAGTTCGAGTCCCAGAGTGAACATCAACTCTGAGATGCAGGTACATCCAGCTGACGAGTCCCAAACAGGACGAAAGGCCTGTCCTGGATTCCACTGCTAGCCACTATCCATCTTTGCTTATAACGTTAACAATGTTTAAAGTAGATATTTGCATTATTGTATAAGAGACATATGATGTAAAACAAAAAGTGTTAAGATAACAGAACATTACTAAAACTATCTTGAATGAATTCATCTTGCATATTAAAAGTTAAGTATAAAAAGATTCTCATATTATTTAATAAATACCATTTAATACAGTCATTATTATTCTAGAAACATGAAGACATAAAATCACTTTACTTTCATTAATCTAATTTATTTAAGACTAAATATTATAATTATAGTGGAAATCATTTTGTTGTTAGCTTTTCATTCTATTTTTTTCTTCTTTGTATGGTGATTTCCTAAAAAGAAAATTCTTCTCATTATGTAATGTGTTTTAATCTCGTTGATTAATACATATGACCATAATAATAATAATATTAATATCACATTTTAGAAACATTTGGTAACTGAAATAAATAAAGCAGATGATGTTAGTTTTCGATATTATTTCATTCTAATGGATTTTATACACACCTATTTCTTTGTTTTTATTAAATATTTACATGTGACTTATAATTAAAGTAAATTTGACTATTTCCTTAACGTTCATAATATAGAATGATGACGCAATATGCACAGTATGCACATATGCCAATAACAGACTGATCAATTGTAGCCATAAACCTCAATGGGAAGATAGAGGCCAAACAATATCAAATGATTAGTCCCTTTGATAAACTTTGATAATGCAATGAGAAGACGAATTTTATCAGAAAATTCATAAATGTTCTTAACAAGTATATGTGTGATCAGATTGTTCGAAATGTATTGCGCAAATATATCACATAATTCTGATGAACTTCTTCTTCTCATTGGATTATCGAAATATCAAATGAATTTAAACTTCACCCCATTGCACAAACAAGTGGCTATCAGGACTCAGTAGCTAAGTGAATAATGCGATAGCGTTTAAAGCGAATGGTAATGGATTCGAGTCCCAGAGTGAACACCAATTCTGAGATGCAGGTACATCCAGCTGACGAGTCTCAGATAGGACGAAACGCCTATCCTGGATTCCACTGCTAGCCATTATCTATCTTTGCCTATAAAACGTGTGAATTAAGGTAGTATCGAGGCATACGCACAGTATGCACATAAGCCAACAACAGACTGATCAATTGCAGTCTTAAACCTCAATGGGAAGATTCAAGCAAAACAATACCAAGAGAATGATTCAATTTCATTAAATAGAGATAAAAATATAGTAATTTCAAAACAATTTCAATTTGTAAGTTATTTACTAGATAATGTGTAAAAATGACAAATTTCCTTTCTTGATTAAAGGTTGATAACAAATCTCAGTACAAGAAAGATAAAAGAGGAAGAATGTATTTGTAAAATCTCAGCGAAAAGATTTAGGGTATATCCAACGTTTCGCCTAGCAATCTGGTCCAAGCTGTTTCAAGGAAATATAATATATATTCTTTACAGGATGATAATAATTATAATAAACTTCTGTTAAACATAGTGATAGGGAGGTAAAATAAACAAAGGTATTTAAAAAAATTTTAAACAAGGAAAGTTTAATAATTGTTTGATTGTTAATGGCTTAAGTATTCACCACAAAGAAAGACATGGAAATTATCAATGGGAAAGGATGGATCAGCATGATAAGATAAAATGTTGTAATTGAGATTAAATTTAATCAGGAGGATCATAGAAACAGAAATAAACCAGTTAAGTGTAGAAGATTTAAGGGGAAGATGTAAGGTGAAGCAGATGGCTGTAAAGGAAGAAGAGTATGAAGAAAGGAAGAAATAAAACGATGAGAAAAGAAAAAAAATTATAAGACATTAAGACCAAGCTAGAAGAAGAGGTTGTACCAATCTCCACATATATATCTATTGCTTTGGCAATGGGTGTATTCCGTTTACTAGAAAATCTGAATATTTTGATAAACTTGTACTAGTGATTAATATTTGCTCTCAAATTTTTGAAGAAACACAAACTTTCACACTATTTTCATCGGCTAACACTCCTTTCATTCAAAGTGATTAAATTTTATAAAAAAAACATATAGTTAAAAAACGTTTCATATATTTCAATTGCTTTGATTGTTTCAATCAAGATACCATTTTGCCTATACTTATAACAGAAGTTAACTAAAACTGTCTTATTCTTGCAAAACATACCTAAGATTTCCACTTTTAATCTTTTTATTTCAAATAGGCAACAGTAAACTACACGAAATCATGAAGAGAAATAATATGTTCATTGATACTTATCGAAAAAAACTTAACTGTGGTCATCCTGCTCTCAGAATTCAACACTACTTCGTTGGATATCAGTCAGTAATATAAACTAACTTCAAAAAATGTAAACCATTGGAGTAAACGATAGCCTTCCACTTGTTAATAAACATAATTCAAGATAGATTTTCAAAGGATGTAGTACGGAACTGCTGGATGTGTAATCAGAAAAACAGGGAGAATCATTAATTTTCAAAGATGATACTTGGCAATAACCTCACTTTGTGATGAACAGACGAGTTGAATAGGATGTTCAAATATCATATTATTACAGCTGCATAACATCAACTAAAAAATTACAAGAGACAAGGGACTGTGGACAGATATTTTACCTTGATTTAGAATTTCTTAGTATTGAGTACTAAAAACTTGGGAGTAGAACCCAGAACATTCGGGTCTTAAGGAGAGTGCAATACACGTTCACTAACATGTCGGAATCTAATGATCTACAATCCCAACTTCACTTAATTTATAGTATAAAGTGGTTGTCACCCAATGTTCATCAACAATTTTTATTTTACTTATGAAATGACTGATGTCGACCAGCCCCATATCTTCTGCCTTCAAATTTCCATGACATCATCAAAAAATACAACTTTTACTAAAAGAAAGGTTTTGTAGTAATATATCAGTCATTCTGAATTGATATCAATTAAAAAACTGTTAGTCTAAGAATTATAGTTCTCACTATAAAACCTAAGTGTTCCGAAACTAGTTCCTAATGCAACTGTAGGTGCATACTTCTGAGAAGTCTAGTACTAGTACAACATCTTTGGACAGTGCCTAGCAATTTTCAATAACTCTCAATTTACTACCCGTTTGTGATCAAAATCATCTTCGAATAGTCAAATAAATTTCTCTTTTAAAAAATATGGAACATTTCTGAAATACTATCAAATACACACTTACCAATAAATAATCTGCTATTTACATGAGGATATTGTTCACATAATGATTGTAATAAACTAATTACTGGATCATTTTCATTTTGTACACAAAATAACAGTTCAAACTAAAAACATATAGAAAAGAGAGTTATTTGAAAAGGTACAAATTACTCAGTACTACATTCCATGTACAATGTACTGTATAGTAATAATTTAATTAATAAATCGTAAATATTATCAGTTGTCAGAAAAATTGCGTTAAATTACAATCTGTTCGTTCTCCAATTCATAAAGTCCACTTGAATAGTAAGATGATGAAAGTACCTTTGATGAAACTATCAATCAAAATCAAATCACCATTTTTTTTATGTGAATTAATGATGATATGCAAATATTCCTCTAGAATGAAACGAATTAAAAAACCGGATGAGTAAGAATTCGATATGGTTTCGAGCCATTCGTATATCACAAGAATCTGAAACTATGATTTAATTACCAAACGAAAGCAATCAGTTAATTACTCGTGGTAGCAGATTTTCAAATACATTAAATGCAGTGATAAAGGTTTTGAGGAATACTACATATACTAATAAATCTATTTGTTCCCCAAACCGTTAGTCTAAGGGTGAGGATTATTGAGGGATAATTAAAATCTAGCTTGTTGGTCATTGTGCTTATTTAGTTATTTAGTTGAGTGGTATACCGACTGCATAGTTTACATCATATGATAACGCAACAACCATTTAGTCAACAACCCAGTAAGGCAACTTTCATTACTGTCAAGTTTAAAAAAAATAGTCTGACCAATAAAAAAGATACGTGTTATATTATTATCTTAATGTTTACAGTTTAACAATTACTGTAGATATTACAATAAAGATAGCATAGAATATACTTCCGAACGGTATAAGTAGCTGGCATCTGGAACTCATTGACAAGAAGAGAGTTAAGTAGTGAATGAAGAATCTTACTAATTTCTGCACCTAACAGCGCTCATTCACAGTATGTAACGGGAGAATTGATTGGTCAAAACTCTATTTCTTACAATAATCTACCTTCCATTCGTAGATACATCATACTGATAAGAGTTAGCAAGAACAATCTGGCTTGATGGATTATCGTCTTTTGATATGAAAAAACAAGATTTTTATTTGATTCATGTAGACAACAAAACAAGTATATTCCAGTTACAGAATGTGTGAAACCTCGAAACTACGAAAGATGCGACTTAAGTAACCATTGGGAGAAAACTCAGTAACGTTTGACAGAATAAAACAAAAGGACAAAACAAATATAACATAATTATGGACTTGATCGTTTCTTTGCATATTTGAAGAAAATAAAACGACAAGAAAACTACAAACAATGCTCAAAAAAGTGTCTCAGGATGAGTGTGATCATATAAACTGTTATATCCTAGCGAAGATTAAATTACAAGTAACTTCTGAGACCTATTAATGGACTAATATTATATATATATATATATATATATATATATATATATATATATATATATATATATTCTTGTGGTATAACTATTCAGTAATTAGATTATGTATATCTATATTCCCCTTATTATAAGCCTAATTTTGGCTTATAGATTATTATTATACGATTTACTGTTCTTAAGTTATATTCAGTTTATTAATTATTGTCTCCCACGTTCACAGCCACTTTTTGGCTTTATTTTGTATAAATGCTATTTCCTATTATATGATGCGATGCGGTCTGTTTGGCTGGTATATAAACCAAGTATGTCTGAAATAAATGATTCGCATAGCGGAAGCTGTTTTGGTGTTCTGGACTTAACGAGACGGGTTAGTGGAGCAAAGGACCAATAAGGACGCTAGGCTGATCAGACCGGTCGAACGTCATTGGTTTAGTACAGTACAAGAGTGAATAACTCGTATTTCGATTGATGAACAAATTACATGATAACTAGCCGCGTTTAAAGTCACAACATAAACAAAGTTTAATTCAACATATGTAACTTCTAGCATTCATAATCGGTGGACCTAAACAAAATTCCAAGCACTAATTAAGTAATAACATCCTATTAAAAAAATCAGTCAGTCTAATTTCTAATATCTTTAGAATTACTTTAAGATCAAAATAGTGAAGTGCCTAAAATTAATGGGCTTATAAATATTCCTTTTGTCGTAGTATGAACATTTTCTTAAATGTGTAACATATACTTCATTACAATAAATTATCTTCATCTACATAAAATACACTTTGTTTATAACCAGTTGGGTTGAAATGTTTCATCTAACTTTGTGAATTTTCAACAAACTTTTGCAAAACGTTTCTTTTTATCCTGAGAAACATGAAGTTGATGACGCCAGATAAATTTAATTTCAAAGGAATGCTTTAAGCGTCAAGTATCTAATACCTAAATTTTGAAGAAACATTGGTAACTATACGATAAAGATAGTCTATATTTCTGTTTTAAACGATCGATACAATTCGCTAGAGTTCAATAAATTTTTATTTAACATGAACTCTTTTCTAATTATTAGTATGTGGTTGTGGAGATTTTTGAGTTCCAATTGAGATCATGAAACGATCGATGTTAGACCGCCATTGAAAAACTGAAGGCATTGGACAGCTGTTTCGTCCTAGTATGAGACTTTTCAACAGTGCGCACCCACGATTCTGAAGACGGCCGCGCAATATTATGGATCGGTCTAAGTTTGGCATCAATACTGTTGGATGCTAGCTAGGTGGTATAGAGTTTAAGTGTTCGCGACCGAAGGTCCTGGAATCGAATACCTTCTTTCGGTATCTTTTCTAATTGTTCTGTTCCCCCTTAAGCTTCGCACCAAGTAAATATTTTTTCGGTACTAGAATTTGAGAAACTGATACCTGGACGATATTTATACGAACACATGCGTATACACTATACTCCCTATTCTTTTCTATGTAGAAAAGGAAAGTATGATGAAACAATTATTTTGATAAATACATACTTGAGAATAAAGTTACACTATGAATCACAATGAAACAATAAAGCAAATAATATTCAAGAATAGTCTAATGTTTATTGGCAAACGTAATACTGATATATGGAATTCGAAAGTAAACTTTGGTCGAAGTAATGTTTCAAAAACCACAGATCCTACTTGCTCGCTAAAACAAACCAAATTGTTTTATGGTGACAAGTTTTCATTTGTGTTACAACTGGTTTTAAAGTTATTATTCGATACACAGATTTTATATCATAAAACAGATAACTTTTGATTTTCCACAATTTAGATTTAGATTTAAAAAATCTGGTGAAATGCGTTTAATCTGTTCTCACTCAACCTATGTACATGAAACTCATCTTAAAAGCTAAAGTATAAATTGTACTAGCATTTTTGATTAACCAATCAATGTGCATAACATGATAAAGTGTAATTATTTCTATTTCATATATGTGTAAATTCAACCAAACCTAAAAACAAAAAGCATTTTCATAATCTATGAAATGACAATGTTTATAATAAAGACAATTAGGTTCATTTAATCGACTGTATGTTAAATAACATCATACAACATACTCATAATTTATTGAAGAAAAAAAAGGCTGAAACGTAACTTATTTGCGAAAAAATAAATATATTTGATCAATCAATCAGTCAGTCAATAACAACGTGGAACTTCGTACGTACGTACATCAGTTCGAGTTGCCACACCACATTATCACAGTGATGCAGTGGTCGATTCAAATCCCGTAGTGGTACAGGTAGTAAGAGTATAAGCAGTAATCGGAAACATTAGGGTTTGAAGACGTTATTTAAAGAGTATAAACCAGTGAAACAAATTTGGAAATAAAATTACATCATACATAACTGATTGATTTCAATTCATATTTTCTTTATTACCATTAATCAATTTTCATGAGTTCTAATCACTATTTCAATGTTCTGGAACTTTCCCTCTCAAACTTTATTTATTTATTCGAATCAAACATTTTATGAGCTCATTAACTCTATCTGAATATTCGGTACATCATCATACACATGTATTGATCCTTAATCACACTCTTATATATAAGTATGTCAATATCTATAATAACGTTGAATTTTAAATAATTTAGGTTGTAAGCAGCTGATGAGAACCTAACGAAATAAAATGAATTCATATTATTCTGCACCAATTTTTGTTCTTGCTCTCTTTAAAAAACATGACGAACTCAGAAGATTAGAATTTGGGAGAACACAAAGAGTGGATGCACCTGCGTCATTGCAAATGATTTTGAGCCATGTCGTTCAAGGTCTCTAACCATCGGTTGCTATCATCTCGCGGGTCCCAACTAGGTAGTCTACACCTACCAACATGGCTCAGTCCACTTGTCAGTGACTTCATGGATTTGTGCCATATTTTGTTCTGGCCGCCCCTAGCTTTCTTCCAACCTTCTCCTACACCAGAAAACATAGCACGTCGAGGCAGTCGGTGTTTAGGCATATGTAACACGTGTCCCAGCCATCTCAACTGAAATTTCATTACTTCATCAATTGATCAATCACAACAATTTTATACGAAATTTTCTATTAGAATTGAATGATTGAATTTAATGTAGCTGGACAATTTGATATAATTAGAATGAACTTCACTTTTTCTAAATGAAATTTGTAGTTCGTCAGGTTATTCAGAACTCTTTTTTAATCAAATAGTACTTTGGAAAAGGAATTAAACTACCTAGTGAAACATCGGAATATAATCTTGTACATAATGTGTATTTATAGTTACCCAAATATTTATAGTTTATTTAAGTACAATGATTTTTCTAAGAAACTATATCAGATAGCATCGAACAACTGACAAACTATATACAATGAAGCAGTGGGCGTTTCTTAAATAAATCACTTTATGATAAACGTTCAAGCTACAATATAAAAAAGCTACCTGAAACTATTTTTTACATAGGAATGTGGTTTTAGTGAAATTTCCTGCAGTTGACATAATTTTGGGAAATACATTTTAGACCGACTAAAAGTCAGTTATGAAATTTTTATGTATTATCGTTATTAACTTAAACACAAATAAATTTCGTTCGTTCAAGTCCTCAAATTTTACAAAACCGCATATAGCAAACAGGGACACAGGAAGAGAATAAAGACTAGGAAATGAAAAAACAAAG